CCACAGGTCTCTCCCCCCCCCCCCTCTCTCTCTCTGAGCAACTGTGACTCTGTAGTATGTGTAAGCGTTGTTAGCCAGAGCTACCATGGGCAGGAAAACCAGTCGCTGGAATGAAACCGAGTCAATCTGTCATTCCCTGTCGCGTGTCGGGTGAGTGGACTAAGACCAAGCAAGTGCAACTGGTGCCCGTCACAACTAGCTCACACCTAGCTCACAAGTTGTCAACCTCCCCTCCCTCCCTTCCTCACTCGTGTCTCCATTGACTGTGTGGCCGTCCATATGTCAGCCTGCCCTCCTTTAGCAGCACTGCCAACACGACGGACGGACGAAACAACGAACCAATGAGTGAGTGCGGGACCGATGGACCGACCATAGCAAGCGTGTGTAAGTCAGTTAAGTGTGTCTCCTTCCCGCGCACACAAGCACAAGCACACACCCGTCCAATCCCCGCCCCTGTCGATTTCTTCACCCCTGCCTGCCTGCATTCCGCATGGCAACCGAGTGAGAGCGTGTGACTGTGATTGTGTGTGTCTGAGCGTCCCAAAACCGACATGGATGGAAAGCCCTACCTACCCGCTCCCTCCCATTCCCTCCCGATGTGTCCCTTCCTCTCTCTGATGAATGAAAATATGGCGCATATCAGTCGATCGGTCGCTATACGTACATACGTACATTCATACATACATATATATATGCATACATATAATATATGAATACGTACATATGTGTGTACTGTACATGTACACACGCGGCAAAGATAGATGTGCAGAACGACATCTCCTTCCGGCTCCCCTCTCAAAACGGTCGCACCTGAGCTGACTGACTGACTGAGCGACCCGATCACACCCGACCCGACCAACTCCCTTTCATTCACTCACTTACTCACTCACCGATCGAGCAACAAACCGATATATGTCGTGTATATACATACATTCGTACATAAGATGGGTACGTATACAGACGAATAGAAGAGGTGGGTACATATACAGACGAATAGAAGAAAGAACGTTACGCGCGCAGGTGAGGAGGTACTCACGCTTGCCGCCTGCCTGCCTGCCTCTGTGCCTGCCGCCTGTGAATTAGATATGGTGGATGGGATCTAACAAAACTGTGAATGGTGAATAGAGATGCAGCAAGCGACAAGTGCAGTCGTGACCGCAAAAAGCCGGCTGCCTTCCGTCTTCCTTTCCTTCCTTCCGTGTGTGGTCTGCGTGGCTGTGCGGCAATGTAGAGCATCCATAGCGACACACACTACCTAGGTAGAGGGGGGAGGGAGGGGAGGGGGTGAGCACAGATTACTGTGGCAAAATTGGCCAAGCGCGAGCGAGCAAAAGGCGAGGGAGGCGGGCGCACGATGGATGGACTGACGCAAGTGCGGTCGGACGGATGGTGGCTGGCGGACGGGCTGAAGGAAGGAAAGAAGGAGAGGCAACGAGAGATGCCCAGCACAGAAAAAAAGCAACAAGGGAAATGACAAAAAGAAATAACAAGAACTGGACGAATAATGACACGATATCACATGACCCGTCAGACAGACAGACAGACAGACGGTAGGCAGGCAGGGCAGCGAAAGCAAAAGCACTCAGTCGTCGTATAGATGGCGTACAGACAGGAATACGATGACCGAGGTGACGATCATGGGTATGGTGTCAGGCTATCTATCTATCCACACACGGGGCAGCAATTGGTCCAGGAAGGCGAGGACCAACATTGGCCCGCTACGGGCACTGCCCTGTCACACTGAAAAAAGCGCCGAAGTAGACGCGACGCGTACACAGACAAACGGACAAACAGACGGACGGAGACACGGAAAAACATACACACAGAGAAAGACTCCCTTGATAGTCTCCTCCTCTCCATCTCTCTACCATCCCGCCATTCCATCCCTTTATCCTTCCATCCCTTTATCCTTCCATCCATCCATCCATCCTTCCTTCCTTCAGTGAGCAGACCACTAGGGCGATCAATCGGTCGATTAGACGCCCGTCATGACTGCTGCTGCTATCGCTGGTGGTGCTGTCGGTGTTGGTGCTGTTGGCGCCTCTGCCCGCCCCGCCCCCCCATACCCCTCTTGCCCAGCTGCCGGCGCATCACAGATTTGCTCTTGCTGCTCTTGTTCCCCCCCTCCCCCTCCCCCTTTCCCTCTGCCCTCCTGCTGCTAGCGCCGGCGCCTCCTTTCTTGCTGCCGTCCGCTGCTGTCGCTGCCACTGCTGTGTTCGCGCCGTTTGGCTTCTTCAGCTTCTTCAGAGGACTGCCGCTCCTGCTGCTGCCGTCGGTGGTTGTGGGTGACAACTCCTCTGCGAGTCCCGCCCTGGTGACAGCGAGCTGCACTGGGATGCCTTGTGGCCAGGTGAGTGCGAATCTGTCCCAGATAGCCTTGAGGACGGGCCGGTCGAAGTCGCTGGTCCACGGCTTGCGTGAGCCGCCGTAGTGCAGAATGGCGTTACCTCGACGGTACGTCTCCCTGTTCCGCACTTGAGGGGAAGGCTGACCTGCAACGCACACAGAGGAGCATCGCGTGTGTGTTCTTTGCTGGTGTGTGCTGGTACGGTGTGTGAGATGTACCTAGGAAGGCGTTGAAGCGTTCGGGCAGTTCTCCGTAAGTGCCGTTGGTGAACAGGTTGATGGCGATTTGGTCGTTCACGCCGTATTTCTCGACCCACACCATGACGGTCTTCTCGAACTCGAGCTGCCGCATGATGGGCAGGTCCAGCAGCATCACGCCCGCGTTGAACGACTTGCCGCCCTGGTACTTGATCGCATCCGACAAATGGTCGTGCTTCAACCTACACACACCATACACAGGGACAGACATGGTGGCTGCCTGGCTGGCTGGCTGGCTGGCTGTGTCCTTCCCCTGGTCTCCCCTCTCGGCTTCTCACCAGCTGTTGATGAGTCCGCTTTCAAGTGAGGTCCTCCCCCAGATGCCCTTGGTCTCCTCCGCCCGCCTCTCGTCATCGGGAATAGTCGAGGGCAGCTCCCACATGGGCCGCAACGGCCCCACCACGAGCGCATCGAGGTCGAGGTAGATGGCCCGCCGCAGCTCGGGGAAGAGCGACGGGATGGACAGCCGGCACATGGTGGCCACAGACACGTGTGCCAGTGTCTGCGTGTACTTCATCTGTGTGCCCCAGTCGACAATGTCGAGACGGAATGTGTGTGGGGGCAGTGGTCGGGGCAGCCGGGTGTCGGCGATACGCTGGAGGGTGTCCAGGGTGTCTTGTGGGATGCGGTCGGAGATGAGGTGGACCGTTATGGACTCGTTCAGGTTGCTCAAAATCAGCCCGTTCAGCAGAGTCGGGATATGCTCCACCAAACCCTGCAAACACACACACACACACACACACAGACATAGAGATCGAGAGAATTGCTCTCGTGTTGATTGACTGTCCCTCCCTCCCTCCCTAAATTCGTTCTTGTGTTCCGTTCGTTCGTACCTCATCAGAGGCGATGATGATGTGTAGGGGGTCCTGGTCCTCCTGGCTGGCAGGCGGCGTGAGGTGCCCCCCCATCATGAAAGAGAACGACGGCACCATCCGGCCCGCGACAACCTCCTCGATGTCAGGCACAGCCGAGGTCGGCTTCTCACCATCACCCTCGGCCCCCACACACCGACACTCCTCCTTGCCATTGCCATCACTGCTGCTGCTGCTGCTGCTGATGGCCATGGACGCCATGGACGCCTCCCTTGCCGCATCATGTCGCTCCTCGCCAGTGCTGATGGCCCCCCACACGAGAAGGGAGCTCTGTGGCAGGACGGCCTTGGTGCTGGTGTTGCCGTCGACAGCAGTCGGTTCAAGTGCCTCTTTGGGGATTCTGCAGAAGCTGCTGACGAAGTCGATGTGTCTGAAGATGGCGGGGTTGACTTGGGTCCATAGGAAGGAGTTGAAGTAGGCAAAGACGAGCAGGAAGCATGCGAAGAAGGCCAGGTAGCATGACGTACTGAACCCCCCACTGTTGGGCGTCTGCAACACCCCGCTGTTGGAACGACTCGTGCTCATTCTCCACACTCACAGTCAGTCAGGCACTCTGCTGCTCGAATGGGCAAGGAGGGGGCGGGGCGGGGCAGGGGAAGGAGGCCTGGGTGAGTGGGGCGGGGCTGGGCTGACGAATCGACGAGACGACGGTAATGAGGACAACAGAATCACCTATGGTACGTGATGCAGCTCCAGAGATATGTGGGGAACTTCGCCGTCCTCACCAAAACGCTGGCCCGAAAGTGTCCGGGGTGTCCGTTCAGACGAGAGAGTTTCACGCCGTTTTTTCTAAGCGTTTTTTGCGAGCTAATACTTTGCCGTGGCCACACACCCCGACACAACACCGACACAGTAAGACCTGTGCAGAGAAGAGGATGCATTCATCCATCGCGAAAGAAGTAAAGCACGCTGTAATGTTGTTGTAGGTGCTCTTCCGTTCATCAGACAAGATAGCACTCGGAGATGCTGGCGGCATGGCGGCTGTCGCAGTGGTAGGAAGCCACACCCATGGGCCACACAACACTGTGCGATGGCGAGTACAATCATTCGTAGATCCACGGCCATGTGTGTCTGTGTGGCTCCGCAGGTACGTCTATGGCCGCCAGAGCTTCACCAAGGCCGGCTTCGAGCATGCCGCCAAGAGCTTCAACCCTGCCGTAAGCATGCACACACACACACACACACACACACACAGATCTGCGGAATGAGTGAGTGAGTGAGTCAAGTGAAGGGAGAGTCGACGTTTGCCAGCTGTCGCAGCATTGGTCGTAGTACCCTTCACAATAGCGACACTCTCCTCCGGTCTGCCGGCCGATTGGCTGTCGTCCTGACTGCCGACCACACGCAGACCTGAGCGAGTGGGTAAGGCAGGCCTCTCTACCAGCGAAGCCGACACCCTGCCAGTCTTCTTTGCAAGAGGCCTGCACACACACACACACCATCCACCATCCACCATCCACCATCCACTCACATGACATCCACATAAATGACTCTCTCTGCTTGCCTGGATGGATGGATGCCGTGCCTCTGTGTGTGTGTTGATGCTTGTTGACTTGATCAGGACTGTGATGTGGACCTCTCCAGTCGTCACTTTATCATCACGGGCGCCACGTCGGGGCTGGGCCTCTCGTGCGCACAGGTGCTTGCTCGGAAAGGAGGGACGATTCACCTGGTGTGTCGGAACAAAGACAAGGGGGAGAAGACGCTCGATCAGCTCAAGGCAGATACCAACAACCAGGACATCCACCTGCACGTTGTGGGTGAGAGAGGAGAGCTCCCCTTGAGCACAAGAATGGGCCATGGCTGGCTGTAGTGTTCATTTCTCACTCTTGCTTCACTCCTTCATTCTCACTCTTGCTTCATTCCTTCAGATCTGTCTGAGATCGGTGCCGTTCGCCGCTTCTGTTCGTCGTTTCAGCTGCCCCTGCACGGCCTGATCAACAATGCGGGCATTATGGTCCACACGAGGACACTCACACAAGACGGAGTAGGCCAGCCTCCACATCTGATGAATTCACCCTTCCACTGACTGAGGCCATGACCACTTCTGCCCTCCCTCTCTCTCTGTCAGCATGATGTCAACTTCGTGACCAATGTGCTGTCCCCCTTCCTGATGACTGTCGAGCTGCTCCCAAACCTGCGGCGATCAGGTGACCCACACTCGGTTGGTGGAAGACAAACAGCGGGCATCGCTGTCTCGTGTGTGTATTGCAGGTGACGGTCGCGTGATATTCGTCTCCTCTGGCGGCATGTATGCTCAAGGTGGGTAGTCACGGCCAGCGGGGAAAGCAGCGCACACACACACAGAGGGAGGGAGGGAGGACATGCGGTGGTTTACATGCGTTCAGAGTTGAAGCCTGACGATCTCGAGGACAAGAAGCTGACCAAGTATGACGGCACATGGGTGTATGCGCACAACAAACGAGGTGGGCGGAGACGCCGCCACGAGAGGGGCACCACGTGCAGCCACTTTGCTCTCTCCCTTTTGGCAGCCCAGGTGTGTCTGGCCGAGCTGCTGGCTGAGAAGGTGTCACCCGCCCAAGACTCCCCGGTGACCTTTTACTCCATGCACCCGGGATGGGCAGACACTCCTGGTGTCCGGCTGTCGATGCCCTCATTCTTCGACCAACACAAGGGCATCCTCAGGACAGCTGAGCAAGGCGCCGACACTATCGTATGGCCGACGAGCGATCTGAAAAGGACATGGCATCACTGTGGCGTCCACGTGCGTGTGTGTGTGTTCAGGTGTGGCTGGCGATCGCGCCCTCTCTGACGGGGCCGGAGCAGAGGAGCAAGTACAATGGCAAGTTCTCCCTCGACCGGCATGTGGTCTCGCAGCATCTCTTCGGCGCACAGACGCAGCCATCAGATGATGATTTGGCGAAGTGAGGGGAGAGCACAATGGGCAGGGGGACTCGCATGAATGGATGGATGGATGCTGTCATGTGTGTCAGGTTGTGGGAGTATGTGTGCAAAAAGGCCAACATACCACCAGACTTCTACAAAAACAAGACGTGACCTCATCCGTGGCGATGTTCGTATGTGGCTGCTTGTTGATTGCGTTATTTTTCCGTCAGCAGCATGAGACGATTTATTTCTGTAGCTGTGTGAGTGAGGATAGATCGACTGCCCCACACACGGGCGAGTGTCTGGGTAAGTTGGGTTCTGCCTTGGTCGCCTTCTCGTCCTGGCCTCCGTTACAGAAATGCTGCCAAGACAGGAGCAGACGCACCCACAACTCGCTGAGAGGAAACAAACGCCTTGCCCCCCCGACTGAGACGATGATCCATACTGTGGTTTTATGTGTGCATGGACTGGACAGGGTCATTCATTCATTCATGTACAGAGTCAAGTGTGTGCAGCTGCACTGCAGCCTTCCCTTCGCAGAGAGGCTCTGAAACACGGCCATGGCAGCGCAACACACACAGACAGATAGGGAATGCAGCGGTAGTCAGTGCCGGAAATGACAGGAAGTCAGCAGGGGGGAGCATCGACAGATCAATGAGTCAGTCAGTCAGTCAGTCTTGCATGTCGTCATCTTGTTGCTCGTCGTCGTCACTCGTCGTCTTGCGCACATACAGCACGTTGTTACACCTGCAATGCAACCCCCACACACGGCGCGGCGCGTGTGAGGTGTAAACGCCGACTCATCCATTCACTCAGTCACCTGATGAGTATCTCTCCGAGGGTGCCTTTGAAGTTGCCGTCAATCCACTCCTCGGCGTTGAGGAGCTGGAAGTTCATGTAGTCATCCACCGACTTCAACGTGCCTGAACGAACCAATCGGCCAGCCACACGGACACACATCAATGGTGCACTGACTGTAATCTGTGTGTCTGCCTGGCGCACCTTTGTACTCCATGCCCCACTTGAGCTTCACTATCACCTGCACACATGGACGCGCACACCAACCATGAGCGATGCCCATCCGCCTCGGCGTCTGTTTGCTCACCTGCTTCCCTGACAGATCCTGAAGGAAAGGTTTGGGGTTCAGGGGAGTGATCTGCAGCCAACACACGATCACACAGCAGCATTCGGCATCCTGCCTTCTCTCTCTCTCACCCCGCTCATGATGCTGCCTTGTCTGCGTCGTGCAGCGAAGTCAACAGGGAGTGAAGATCCAAGTCAAAAGCGGACGCCGACGTGGATGCAGAGTGCCCACGGCGCCTTCTGGGCTGAGATGCCGCTTTTTGGTTTTGTGGCAACCTGGTCACAGCCGGAGGGTTTGACGAGGGGTCAAAGGGTTTGTTACCCTAAACCCTGGCAGCGGTTTCAGGGAGAATCAATAGGCGGCCCACAGTAAACATTTCGCGCGATAGACCCAAGAGTGAGACCGGCAAGGCTTGGGCAAGCGGGCGGTGATCACGGGCCAGATCTTGATGTAGTCAGCATCTCATCCAACCAGAACGCGACTGATCCCATCGACGAACGCGAAACTGCAGCCGATGGCGACCACATCGTGCTGACACCTTCCCAGATCGGCCACCAAGATCTAGAGGACACACAGGCAGGGGGCGACACTGCGCGACCGCGAGACACCGCCACTATCGATGATACCCTTTTTTCACGCAGCCCCACCAGAGCGCTTTGGATGTGAGGGGCAACTTTCGGTGCTTGATGGAGCATCCTGACACTCGAAGTGACTTGACCGATTTCGTCCGTCCGTCTGTCCGTCGTGTTGAGGTGAAGTGTGTCAGATATGCAGTCCAACATGTAGGACATGCCATGGCAGAGAGAGAGAGTCGCTATGTACACAGCACGCAGCCCGTCAGCCACAGGCCGATAGAGACAGACACAGAGACATAGAGAGAGAGAGAGAGAGAGTCAACGGTCTCACTCGGTCACCCACAGTCACAAGTATCACATGCAGAAGACATGACGACATCCCTCTGCCCTCATCGCAACACTCCACGTCTCTATCTGTCTGGCCCTCTGTCTCTGTCTGGGTGGCCTCTGTCTGTCTCCTCGCACCAGCCGCCTCGGTGGCCGAGTGCCGCTCCCATCGTGCCAATCGTCCGCAGGGCCGTGTGGTTTGCTGCTGCTGCTGCTGCTGCTGGTATGTCTGTGTGGCTGCTGCTGGTGTGACTGTCGCTGCTCGAGCTGCTGCCCGACGAGCTGTCCGACGAGCTGTCCGACGCCGTGGGCGAAGGGGGGCGGTGCGACACGGCGGCGGGAGACGGCGGGGCGTGTGGCGGTGGTGAGTCGGGCGAGGTGAACCACGGGTGGTCGAGGGCAGCCTCCACTGACAGACACAAACAAAGAGGCACAGCACAGCGGTCTGTCTGGTCTTCACACACTGCGTGCGTCAGTCAGTGACCACACAGCACAGCACAGCACAGCCATGTGTGTGTAGTGTATATCACCCACCTGATGCGATTCGGTCGTGTTTGTTGAAGGCCAGGAGTGACCGGATGAGGTCCTTGGCTGCGTCGGACACCCCGTCGGTGCGTCTGAACCGAACCCCCTGCAAGACACAATGGAATGGACACACACAAATATCAATCACCTCACCCAGACGGCCCCCCCGTTGATGTGATGTGTGACTGACTGATCTGATCCAGCCGACCGAGCCACCAACCCTTTTAACCCACCTACCCGGGTCAATGCCTTCCACTTGCCCTCAGTCATAATGCCGTCGTCGCGCAGGTCAAAGGGATACCGCCCAGTGAGCATTCGGTAACTGAGGCACGCACAGCACACATGACATGACATGACATGACATGTGGGCTCCCAGCCAGCCCAGGCAGGGCTGGATGGGATGGGCTGGGATGGATGCACGTAGCGGACTGACTGACTGACCAGTATGTGTGTGTGTATGTGTGTCTATGTGTGTGTATGTGTGTTTGGGCTCACTCACATGCACACGCCCATCGCCCAAATGTCGCTGGCCTCGCTGTAGTCCAAACACTCGTAGCACTCGGGGGCCTGCACACACACACACACAGACACACACAGACAGACAGACAGCACAGCCGCATTGCATTCTCGGGCGCATCGAAGGCTTCGGACAATTGAGTGTGCTTACGAGGTATTTTGCGGTTCCGATAATGCGCGTTGGCCTGCTGCTTTGGGGGGTCAGGACCGTGTCGAAGTCAACTAACATGACACGGTCGCCGCTGGTCATGATGTTCCGCAGCGACACGTCGGCGTGTGTCATCTGCACACACACACAGACAGACAGACAGACAGGCAGACAGAGAGACAGGGGCTATGCTGTGCTCGTGTGTATGTGTATGTGTATGTGTGTGTGTGTGGTCATTCATCTGTGTGTGTGTGCGTACGCCGTGGTCGTGCAGCACTTTGAGGCCGCTGAGCGCCCCCATGGCTATCCGTTTGGCCTCCCTCTCCCCCAGCCGTCCGCAGTCGGCGTCTGTCCCCCTGACCCACTCCATGTTTATGTAGTAGTTGTCGTCGTCTTGGAAGATGCCAGAGGCGAGGCAGAGGTGCGGTGACTCCGGGAGGTCCAGGATGGCCTCGTACTTCTGTACAAAGTCGGCCTCTGTGCACTGCGGGTCATCCTCCCTGGTATTTAGGGGGGTAGTAGGAAAGAAGGAAACAGACAGACAGACAGACAGAGAGGGTGTGGTGTCTGAGAGGAGAAAGGATGACTGTCTGTGTGTGCCATGAGCTGACATGAAGTTGCTCCGGGGGACGAGTTTGATGGCCTCGTAGAGGCCGCGGAACCAGGTGGCCTCGACCTTCAGAATGAGGCCGTTCCTGCACACAGACAGTTGCATGCGATGCATACCACTCCCTAGGTACCGTAGTGTGTCCCATCCATTGAATGAAATCTATGTGTGATATCATTGGGCGGGCCCATGTATGTGCAGCTGACTGAGCTCTCTGTTGCCCGCCGGCGGCTTGGCTTACCCGCCGTCGTCGGCCTCTCTGACGAGCCGCAAGTCGTTCTCCTCGAGCATCGACCAAAAGTCGGCGTAGCGCTGCATCGCACACCCCAATTGACACACAGAAGAATGAAATGAATGCGGCGTCACGTCATGGGGCCTGCAACGCTTCTCTGCTCCTAAAGAAGCTGACCCAAACTATCGGCAGCTTGAACGGCACGCTGCACTTCTGCCCCTCGCTGTTGGCCGTCTGGCCGCCCCGCTCCCCGCCATTATCAGCAGCTGCTACACATGCGACGGCCGCTTCAGGCGGCATCATCGTGACGTGACGACGGTGGATTGGATCAACAATCACAATGGCTCTCTCGCACACTATCGAACCGACGACGCCTCTGCACTCCGCAAAGACCAAACGTCAAATCAAAGAGAGCCACATCCACCGCAAAGAAGAAGCTCGCAGATCTGTTTGAGGGGACCGGCTTTCGGGCTCTGTCTTGATGTGCTTGACCGTTCCGGATCTGCCTAAGAAACGATGTCTGCAGCAGGCTCTGTGTGGAACAAAAACAGGTACGACGCGAGAGAGAAGGAGTAGATCATGACAGTGGCAGGGATGACTGACTGACGGCTTGGCTTGTGTGGTTCCTTTGTGCGATCGATGTAGTTGGCATTGGGAGGAGAAGAACTACGGCAAGTGGGCAGAGGAGCACATCGGCAGCCTGCTCACATCATTCACTCTCGACGGACCGCATGGCACCATTCGGCTTCACAACCCAACCGTCAACGGCGAGGTAAGTGCAGTACGCCCCTGACAGACACACAGACACACAGACAGACAGACAGACAGACAGACAGACAGACAATGAATGAATGGAGATGCACAAAGCGTGAAGCTGGTCTCTGCTGGCGTACTGGATGTGTTTGTGTGTGAATGCGTGTAGGCGTCAGTGTCAGTTCGTAAGGGCAAGCGGATCGCCGCTTACGAGTACAAGCTGGACTGTCAGTGGAGCGGTGAGGCACCCTCGGGCGAGGCCGTCAACGGCACACTCGCCGTACCCGACTTCTCCGTCGAATCTGTGCAGGTACACTGACAGACAGACAGACAGACAGACAAGCATCGCTGTCTTCGCTGCTTTACACACACTTATGTGTGTGTGTGTGTGTGGGTGGATGTGTGTGTGTGTGGATGTGTGGACGTTGTCAGGATGATGACTACGAGGTTCGGGTGAACGTGCAGACGTCCTCTGATGCGGCGACCGCCCTCAAGGTCAGACAGACAGACCGACCACACCACGTAGCAGTGTGTCTGGGATAAAGAGTGACTGCCGGTCGGCTGTGGGGCTGCATGGCCTGCGTGTGTGTGTGTGTGTCTAATAAATACAAATACATGCAGGAGTATCTGAGGAAGGATGGTGCCAAGAAGCTGCGGGCCCATCTGCGGCAGTTCCACGACGCCATCAACACTGCCGAATCAGAACCTGGTGAGTGAGTGACTCTCCCCCCTACCTAAACACACAACACAACACAACTCGGCTTGGCTTGGATGTATTCATTGATCTGCTCTCCATCTGTGGATGGATGGATGGATGTCGCATCAATCATGTGCAGATCGTCTTGAGGCCGACAAGAAGCGTCGCGAGGAGGAGCTGGCGAGGATGCAGGCTGCGCAGCAGACCACTGGCGAGGCCAAGCTCAAGATGCTCGAACAGACCAAGGCAGAGGAGGCCAGGAAACGAGAGGCCAAAGCCCAACAACCACCAGCGCAAGCACCGGCACAGGCACCGGCAGCAGAGGCGCCACAGCGGATTGTAAGCTAGTGGGGTGTGTGTGAAGGCAGCAGGGAGGGGATGAGCCAATGCGCGTGTTGTGCGTTGTGGTGTTGTCTTGTGTGTGCAGGAGGCTCAGCCGGAGGGTAAGGGTTCGGTGTGGAACGTCAACAGCTGGCAGTGGGAGGAGCGGCCCATGACTCAATGGGCGGAGAAGCACCTCACGCACAAGCTGCAAGACACACAGGTGAGGACGCCACACCGAGCCACCCAGCGAATGACACACACACACACACACGCACACGCACTGTCTGCCTGCCCATCTGTGTCTGTCGATTAGCTGACCCTTCTCGACGGCTCAACCAGCGTGTCCTTGCTCGACCCCAAAATCAAAGGAGACGTAAGCACCGCGCACCCACCCTGCAGACACGTGCTGTGTGCTGTATGCTGTGTGTGTGGCACATTAATGTGTGCAGGCGTCGAGCAGCATCCGCAAGGGCAAGAAGCTTCTGGTGTTCGACCTCAGCCTCACCGTGGCCTGGTCGGCCACACGGAGGGAACCCAATGGCGACTTCATGGCTGACGCTAAAGGTAATAGCGCCCCTCTGACCGCACGACACCTCAGCCACCCCATGCTTCGTCTGCTGTGCCCAGGTCGCATAGAGGTGCCAGACTTCTCATCTGAGAGTCTGGGTGACATCCAGGTCAAGGTGACGTGTGACCAGAAAGAGGCGCCGCGGGAGATCATCAACCAGGCCATGAGAAAGGAAGGCGTCGACCAGCTCAAAACCATCCTGCTCAGGTATGATGTGTGTGCCTGTGGGGTGGGTGGAGAAAGGTGTGTGATGGGTGGATGTGTTGTTTTGTCGGTCGGTTGCAGCTTCGTCGACGAGATGCGGCAGGCGTGAGGGTGGTTGGTGCGTGTTGACCTGGTCGAGTGCATTCTTGTACACCTGCCCGATGGTTGTGTATGGCTGTTTATTATGCAAGTGGGTGGGACGGCCGATGACTGCGTGGCTTGTGTGGATCCATCCATCTGTGTGGGTGCGTGTGTGGGCTGGGGGGGGAGGGCTTCTTGTGGACTGACTGGGAGGAAGACCACTGGTCTATCTATCTGCGTGAAAGCAGCATTTGTCAGCTGCACTCCCACACTCATTCAGGGGTTCATTCACTCACTGCACCAATGCGTCAGTCAATGAAAAGCGCATATGAAATGAATTCAGACAGACATCGACTTAGTCGTCATCAGCTACGGGGGGGGGGAGAAAACGGGCCACTCATGCCATGCGGGAAGTCCATAAAACACCCCAGTGGCACACGGCACACACACACACACTTCAAATATATAATGTGTCGGCGAGTAGAGGTGCTACTTAGCCAGCCCCTTAACCAACTCATAGCTGCCAGCACGAAACAGACAGACAGACAGACAGACAGACAAACATAGAGAGAGAGGTCATTGCACCATTGATTCATATTGTGCTGTGTGGTTATATGTATACCTGCCGAATTGAATTGCTCCCGACAGGACGGCACGTACGAGGCGGGGAGATACCCCAGACCACAGCCTGGCGGGACCTTCCTCCGTGGCGATGCGCATGCCGCAGTCGACGATGCCACTGTAGGCCGCTGATGACGATGCACTGCTGTCAGACTGCGCGGCAACGCCACCGCCATAGCTGCTGGCGGGCGATGCTGCGGCAACCGACGTCTCGCGTTTATCCTGGGTCATCAGCCGTGTGCTGCATAGAGAGGCAAGCAAGAGAGAACGTGCCTGCCTGGATCAATCAATGCGCCCCAGGTCAGGAGGCAGGCGTGTATCACCTGCCTCGCCTCTTTGCTGCCTACCCTACCGGATGACATCAAGAGGGTTCGTGAATAGCTGTGCGGTGCAGCTGGCCAGGCTGCCGGCCGCCGTCTTCTCAAGTAGGGTCAGCTCGCCACCGAGGGCTGCCTTCAACGAGTCGTAGACCAGGAACTTGATGACGTCCGTCGGGTAAGCATAGGCGATGTTGGCATTGTACCCAGTGTACAATCCACCTGAACCAACCAACAACCGAACAAACAAACAAACAAACAAAGGCAGTCGGCTCAGTGGCGTATATGGATTTCTTGTCTTCCTTCCGCCCCCAACCCACCGATTCCATCCTGCTCGACTGTTTTCCTGATGCCGTCCAGTGTGTTGTTGGCGAGGCCAGCCTGACACCTCGTCTTGACCACCTGCATGTTATGTGCATGAATGAAGCCAGAGAGTCGATGGCTGGCCAGCCACCACCCCCACTAATCGCATCCTTGCCTGCCTACATACCTCTGAGGGCGTCCTGACAAGCCAGTATGGCACGCTCGCGGCGAGCACTGCAGCCGATGTCCGCACCTGAAGATTCCCCGATAACCCTGCCTGCGCAAGATAAGCCATCGACGTGTCCTTGACGCCGAAGAAGAGGGCGGACGCCGGTGTGCCGACCACCAAGGGCGGCACAATGCCGCGATACAGGTCGTCAAAAAGCCCGTCATTGGTCTGATTGCGAAGCTGCAGCCGGGCACGCAGCGTATCCAGGGGATGCAAAATGGCGTCTTTGCCCAGGCGGCTCGCCCCGCCTCCAGCCAGTCCACTGATGAGCTCCTTAGCCAAACCCTTGTCTGCTCCAGCTCCTCCCGCTTCTGGTGGTAGCGAAGTGGGGACAGGAACAGCAGGCACAGCAGCTGAGGCAACCTTGTCGGAGGGAGAGTGGAAGGCGCTTGTGGCGACTCCTATGGTCAGCAGGCCGGACAATAGAGACCCTCCATTCAGATGATCTCTTCGACCGACTCGTGGCTGCTCATCAGACAGTGAAGACGCGCGGCTCGTGCGCCTTTGTTCCGTTGATGTGTCATGGCCGCGACTGCCGCTTTGTGCGACTAAGGAAGCTGACACGTGGTGCCGTTGCAAAGGCGGCAAAGGCCCAGCTCGGTGGGCAAGGCCGAGATAACGACTCGGACGATGAATGGTCAAGAAAGCCCCTACAGGAAAACTCGGCTGCGGATGCCTTGCAGAGCAGGAGGAGCCCATGAGGGAGATCTGATCTGTTCACACGATGCTGCAACGCACAGATCACCATATGCACACCGGTGATGGAATGCACGCGCTTTTCTCGTAGATCTTACACAGTTGCGAGTAGCCTGACGACGTCGGGGTACCTTGGAAAGAAGAAGACGGACGCGGAACCTCGGCTAAGCTCGCAGTGCGAGCTTTGCATCTTCACACGTTCTCCTTCCCTGCCTTCTTCTGACGCTGCTGTATCTTGCACTGTTCCCCATGCTATCGTTTATGCATCAAGATCTTTAGGAAAGAACCAACCCATGGCGGAAACGACGGCCATCGCTCAGCTGCTGCAGGCACTCCAGGCCCAGCAGCAGGGCCAGCCGGCTGCCGCTATGCCCCTCAACACCCCCGCTGCCGCATCGTCCCAACCAACTGACGTGGAAGTCGCCATCCCATCAGCTGACTTCGACTACGAGCTGCAGCAGGAAGATCTCCGCTCTCTGATGGCCGTGTTCGGGCAAGTTCTCGGCGTGAGCGTCAATCCGATGGAGGGCTCGGCAACAGTCACGTTCGCGCGAGAGGAGAGCGCACTGGAGGCAGTGAGGGAGCTGAACGGCGTGTGGCTGCGGCCGTACTCGCAGAGGCTGGGTGTGCGTGTGGTCAGTGGGCCTACCACACGCACAGGGAGACCGTCGAGGGAGAGTGCGGGTGCGTCGGCATCAGCTGCTGGTGGTGGTGGCGACGGTGGACAGGGCAAGGGTAGGAAGCAGATGTGTCGACTTGAGCTGGTGGATGTGTTCGGGCAGGAGCCGGAGTTCAACATCACACTGGTGGGTGTCAAAGGGTCAGTCAGTGGGGTGGCGGGCAGGGCTGGGCAGGGGTGGAGAGAGTGCATCGATCAATTTATCGTGCTCGTGTGTGTGTGTGTGTGTGTGCTGTTTGTCAGCGGATGCTGGGTGACAACAACTCCAACATCCTCCATATACTGAACGAGGCGTGGAAGCTCGTCGACATACACATCAAAGGTACTCAGGTACCACACACACACTACCAGACACGTAACAGTGTGTGCCTGTGTCCCGTCACCTTGGGGGGATGTATGGGTCAACCAACATAACACGTAGGCAAGGCGACCAACCAGGCGCCCGCATCCGAGCGGCTGCACCTGACCATCACCTCATCCGACGCACAGGCCTACCGCACAGCACGGGACCTTGCTGAAGACCTCTTCGCCGCCATATGCGACCAGTTCAGGGACTTCTGCAAGTCAGTGACGTGACATCACCCTCCACCCACACACAGACGGCTCTCTGTCTGCCGATGGATAGATGGACTTGTGTGTGTGTGTGCGTATGCCAGGGTGAAAGGTCTTCCCCCGCCACACAGCATGGGTTTCCGTCGGCATGACTACATCGAGGATATGTCCCAGCCGAACAAACTCAACTACATCGGGCACAGGGAGAGGTGGTCCCTCATGGGCGGGCTCATGCACGATAGAGATTGACCTCGTCGATCCATCCAATTATGGAGAGAGACGACACACACAGACAGATGAGGCAGGACGACTCAAGTGTGCGTGTGGGGTCCGTTGATAGAGAGCGGGCATGAAGACCCCCAATGACCTTGGGTGCGTGGACTGTAAATCGAAAAATCATTGACCAGTAGGTTGTTTGGTTGGCATGGCGTGTCCACCCCCTGACCGACAGACCATCCCACGCACGCACTCACTGAGAGATGGATGCATGATTCACATTGGAGCCAGTGCGAGGCAGCCAGCTAGCCAGGCAGCTACTGCTGCATACGCTGGCTATGCACCTAAGAGTGTGTGTGTACCTTATCTTACTCGCAGGCAGCTCAAAAATTATCGCATTATCATTTCATCTGCACAATCGCTCTGCTCTGCTCTCTCGTCCCATCCCACCCCTCTCTGTCCCCCCCCTGTGCGCCCACACCTCCCGCCCACCCACCCATAACGTCACAGTGAGACAAAGCGCCTCAAATCTGATCCACCTGACTGTCTGACTTACTGCACTCCGCAGACCTTCCACATCGACACGCCATTGCCCACGCACTGAAAAAACCCTCACTTGGTCAGCTGTCCATCACCCACAGCCCACAGCACAGCCCCTCCCTCCTCCCTCCCTCCCTCCCTTCCTTGATATCTGTCCCCTCTAGAATAGTTTCTCTTGCAGCACATCGCTGTCCCATGCTGGGTGGTTAAGGACCTCCTTGAACAGAGTGGTGCCCCTCAGTGTGTTGGTGAGCGGCAGGTGCCCCCTGGGCGCCTTGTCGAGGTCATACATGAACTCATTCTCGCCGAACCACCGCCTCAGCCGCTCGATGCCGTCCTCCATCTTGGACCACCCCACCTTGCTGCAGAAGGTCTGGAAGTCGGCCCTGCACGTCTTCCACACCTTCTTCTGCACACTGTAGCCGAACCGGCCGTTGCTGTAGTGCAGCCACAGCCGCTCGATGGTTGCCATGTCCGTGACGGGGATCTTCCGCACCTCCGTGAAGTACACGTACTTCCTCATCTGCGCACCCGGCCCCGCCAGCTCAATCAGCATGTCCCGCGTGAACTGGTCGGCCTCCTTGAAGTCCTGCTTCGCCAGCATACACGCCAGAGGCCGGTAGTCCTTCCCCGCCTCTGACGGCAGGTGCTCGGGGATGCTCGCCACCTCCACTACGGCATCCGTCTTCGAGGGCTCCAAGTCGGGCAGAGGGGAGCTCTCAATGGCCGAAGGGGCAATGGATGGCGGGGCGTCTGTCACGGTGGACGATGCTGAGAGGGCGACAGATGAGGGGAAGCGGGCGGTGCGTAACCGGCTGAGGGTGGAAGAGAAAGGGGATCGTCTGGAGAGGAGGGAGGGGGAGGGGAGCTGCTGGAAGGCTGCGCATAGATAGATGCCGATGGCGGCGTTGAGGCAGACGGGTACAAACACGCCCATCCCGGTGCTGCCCGTCATCTTGCGCGAACGGGTAGCAGATGCACCACGACGTACACGACGGACGACGCTGATGCCAAAACGCTTCTGTGACGGCAGATCTTTCCCCTTGCGCCTTTCACACAGAAGGCGGGATCGCAAGCTCGCAGTGGCAGGTGATGGGTTCGACAGATCTTGTGTGTTTTTGTGACGTGGAGGTCGGCGAGAGGCAAGAAAACTCAGGCCCACATCTCAGCTGCAACCGGCAGCAGCCGATTGAAGAGGCCCCACAAGCGCGGCCGAGCGACGAGGGCGGAGGTGCTGCAGAGGGCAAGAGCGGCCGGCGCCCGGAATCATTCGACAACGAAGACGATGAGTGTCACGGAATCGTCGGAAAGCAGCCTGGCAAGCAGCCGAGCGGCACCAGCCACGGGAGTGGTGAAAATTGGATTCCTGAATTGCCTGAATCGCCGACAGATGGGCATAATGTGGACGAAAGGGGCGACTGGAGGACAGAGGCGAGGAAACTTAAAGAGATGGTTGCTCAATTTCACGAGGGGGCAGGCAGCAAGGCGTCGTACGAAGAGTTTCCCACTACCCTTCGATACGAGACGCGAGTCAACGACAGCGGGGAGGTCGAAGAGAAGCTTGTCGGGATAGCGTTCACTCCCGAGCCCTTCATCAACACTGCACGGAGAGTCGCCCGTGTCCTTCTCTTTCAACTGGCAACTGCATTGGTCTTTGCAATCGCGTGGGCGCTCTTCTGTGTGGGTAAGACAAAGCCAACTTCACATGCAAGGAAACGCATATGTATCTGGACGGATGCCATCATGTTTGTGCGTCTATGTAAGGTTGCTGGCCGATGTGTGAGTACAAGAGCTTCAGTCGCGGGGTGCCGTGGATAGTACTTGATTTCGTTCGTGTGCTGCTTGTATGTGTCGACTATATCGCCACCGCACTCCTAACGGCCGAGGGGGATGGAGGACTAGCTTTGCGACTCCTTGTCTCGTGCTGGTGGCTTACCGTGCCTGGCGTACTGTTCATTTTTTCAAGGCCGGTGGTGCACCATTTTTTGGAGGATTCAGAGTCGTGTACAGAACTTACATAATGCTCCCTGCGGCGTCTTTCGTCAGCATCCTAGTGGCGTTCCTCTTCTTTCGCTTCAGCGCCCACAGGAATAAGACCGTTATGCGGCACAGGAAGACGACCTATTCCTTTCAGCTGACGTTGATATTTTCTATACAAGTATCACTCGGAATCGTCATGTAAGTTGAAGTCCCGATATCAACATTCATTGTTGGCCTGCTTTTTGTCTCGTAGCCGAATATTTTTCCTCCCCCTGGCCGCAGGAGGGGGAGCGGACACGACCGATGCGGAGCGAACACGAGTGGCATTCGGTTTCCTGCTGATCACGTGGCCACTCCTTGGATTAGGTACGTTGGTTCTGAAATCATGCTGATTGCCTAGCCATTCTGACCAATCAATCAGTGACTGCCACCAATCGGGCTATTCGGGACGGATCAGCACTGCAGACAGCACCATGTCTCGCCTTTGGGGCTGTTGCGCATGCTTTGTTTCCTCGCATGTAAGCAGCATCCGAGTGAGAGACGAATATACATGATCAATGCATTGCTCTACAGACTTCAGTCAAAAATGGCATTGCTTTCGCCGCATCAAATCCTGACATCTGTCGCTCTCGGGTAAGGTCTGCCTGACATAGTGGCCCCTGCCATTCGGTGCTCTTCGAACAGGTGCTTCGACCTCTTGACGGACATCGCGATTCCATATTGTATGCAAGCAATCGATATATTGCATTCCAAATCATGTCTTTTCACGATCTCTCTTGCGTGAGCAGGTGTTCTCCTTGGTGGCGCGAGCACGAGGCTATTCATACGACTGGTGGCCCGCTTCAAGCCGAACCAAAGGGAGACGCAAGATCAGCATGATGCTGTCGACATTATTACCGTCAGGGACGCTATGGGAGCTGTGGCTGAGAGCAACAGCGATCAAAAGCCCGGCCCTTCACTGAGTCATCTTTCCACGAGGGCGGCATCGTACCGTCGTTCAAAAAAGAGTGCGGCATTCGATCGCCTCCGCTCCATGTTAAGCGGCTCGTCGCTTGCATCGCAGCTGAGTACGATACTTGACGCGCAGTCCAAATTCGTGACGGAAGGGTACCATCCCACGTTCCTTCGTCGACTCAGCGACGTGAGCACTTGAGAGCATATGGGGAAAATAACGACAGGAAGAGCCATGCATTCCATCCATGTATGTCTCCTGCCCCTGTTGATTGAGTACAGCAGGTCCATTTGTACGGCCTGGCGGAGCTGACCGCACTGGTACGAACACAGGCAGGGAGGCAGGGAGGCAGGGAGGCAGGGAGGCAGGGAGGCAGGGAGGCAGGGAGGCGATGCATCTGTTCTGTCACTTTACTCACAGATCTTCTCCAATTTGTGCTCCATCATCTTCGAACAGGTGTGTGTGGACGTGCAGCATGCACACGTGCCGTGTATGTGTTTCGTCATGCAGATCTTGTCTCCATCTGGCAAGCGGTTGGCGGAGAGATTGGCTGGCCTGGCGGTCCTTGTGCTTATCGAGATGAGCCTCGAATTCCTACTCTTCTGCGTGAGCTACATAGCTCTCCATTAAAGCGCAAAGACAAGGGCAATTCCATTCGCTCACCATCTGCCTGGGTGTGGCTGGCTGTCTTGTCTTGGTGCGTTGGATGCAGTACATGGTTCGTGTGATCAATTTGCCATTGACCAGGAGCGAGAGGGAGCCGAAAGCCGTGAGGATGCGACTCATGGGCATGTTGTTCGCGGGGAGCTGCTGTGTCGTCCACGGTGCCTCATCAATGGTCGTGTTCGTTTTGCAGTCGTTGGACAGAGAGGCATATGGTAGCGTGGAAGTGCGCGACTACTGCCCGCACGACTCTTTCCTCTTGCGGAGACACATGGGAGCATAATTGATTGAAATCAGCCAGCCAGCCAGCCAGCCAGCCAGCGAGTGAGATATCCGTATGCCGTGCTGTGCTCCGCTAAGACAAGAAAAGTGGCTGTCGCCAAGGTTTTCGTGTCTCATGTAGGTAGGGCTGATTTTGACGAGTGGTGCCCGAGGCCTCACGTACTAGGACTTTATTGGTTGTAATTGGCGAGTAAGCGGGGCTTCGGTGTCGTTTCGCTTCACCTCACCAATGTGACTTATCTGCGTTGGTGCGATGACTAAAACTGCTGCAGGCGTTGCACGTCAATGAGCGGTTCATCCACACACACACCGTTAAGTCACTCGGCAGACAGCAGGACATGCACAAGTCGTGTCACTACCAGCCATCCATCCATCCATTGCACCCTGCCATGTGGTTTCTCAGTCAGTCCCCATCAAAAACGAAACACTTTGCCTGTCTATTTCACCCATATATCGAGAAAAGGTAGTCTGCGGCCAAGCAGACAGACAGACAGACAGACAGACAGATGTGGCCTCACTGCCATCCATCCATCCATCCATCCCTGCTTTGCGTGCAGCTCACACCGACGTGTCACTACTGAGGTCCCTCCCTCCCTCCCAGACACAGCATCTTCTCGTGCATTGCAGCCAAGCACAGACAGTCAGCAATGATGCGGCTATCTGTCTCCCCGGCTACTCCTCCTCCTGTTCCTCCTCTCCGTCGTCTTCCTGCACGGCCGGGAGGGCCGGTACGGGGTCCTCGGGCGGCTCGTACTCGGGCTTCTCACCAGCCAATCGCTTGCTGCACACATACACAATACAGAGCAGCCACGGAGGTCATTTACAGACACATGGCCGGTAGGTACCTCGTGTCTGCCTCGTTGTGTGTATGTGTATACGTCACCTGCGTCGCACAGCGCTGCCCTGGTTCGACAAACCCACATCGTCTGGAGAACACACAACACATCACACCGCAGGATAGACACCACACCACACCATCGACATGTCCTCAGCTGACTGTTTTGTTGCGGTGTGCACAGGTGTGGTGTGGTGTGGTGACTGACTATAGGGTTTGGCCTTTGGGTGCGCTGCTTTGGGCTGAGCATTTGCCGATGGATGGAGAACGGGCCGCAGGTCTGCCGGCCGATTCGCACCAACGCCAATCCCAACACCAACATTACCTCTACCCCCTGCACACACAAATCGATGGCAGGGAAGAAAGCGAATGATTTCTTCTCTCTCTGTCTGTGGGTCGACTGACCTCGGTTCTGTCCGCCCCCCGCCCCACCCCGTCCAGCACCGCTCCCACCTGTTGCCATGACAGTAGACAACACGCCTTATGTGTGCTGGGTGGGCGATGTGGATGGGGGGAGGGATGGGGAGAGGTCAAGGTAGCTTACCTGACGAGTGCAGGGCGTTTGCGCGCGGGTCTTTGTTTCGGTCAAGTGGCTTGAACTTCACGGGCCCCTGCTGCAGTCTGCCGATGCCGCCGATGCCGCCCATGGCGCCGCCCATGCCCAGCGGTGGCGGGCCAGGGTTGACGTCAGGCTGCCCGCGTGCAGGGGGGATGTAGCTACTGCTGTTGTAGTTGTAGTTGGCCTGGCCCATCATCTGGCTGCTGGACGACGTGGGAAACCTGTGGGGGTTCGGCACGAATCCGTCGTCGTTGGGGTTCTCGCCACCTGACCGATGGATGGATGGATGGAATGGATGGACACACAGACACACACAGAGAGAGGTGTGTGGTGGGGTGGTGAATGGTGTGGGGGGTATGGTGTGTTGGTGTGTTGGTAACCTCGTTTGCGTCTGGGCAGATCGCTGTCTTTGACGCCGGGCGGCTTAAGCTGGGGGAACCTGGCGAAGAAGGCGCTGAGCTGGTTGTTGGTGCTGTTTTTGTTGTCTTACGACTTCTTCGTGTCCTTGCCGCCTTCCTGCTTGGCCTTGGCATTGCCCTGAGACACACACACACGCACACACACAGAGAGAGGAGAGGAGAGATTGCACAGCCAGAATGCGCTGCGTGTGTGTGTGTTTTCTCCGGAGATCTCCACCTACCCTGACCTGGATATTTTCTTGTCGAGTCCGAAGTGCCATGCGACGAAGAGGATGCAAAGGACGGCCAGGAAAGCGAGAAAAGCTGATACACAGACACACAGACACACAGACACAGACAGACAGACAGACAGATAGACAGACTTTGTGTGCGTGTGGGTGGGCAGCTGCATACGGTGTGGCTGACCCTGACACACGAGGAACGGGATGTTGGGCGCCTCCACTATCATCGTCACGAACCCAAACAAACTGCACAACAGATACACAGAGAGAGAAGGTGACGACATGCCCATCCCCATGTAAGATGGGGCTGAGCTCGACTACTGTGGGTGGCGTGCGTGCGGACCGAACCCCTCGAACGTGTGCAGTGTGTGGTCGGCTTTGTTGAGTATGATGCCGATGGGGTTGATCATGACCATGCCCAGCAGCGACGTTATGAGCATCAGCAGACCGCCTGTGGGTGGCCACACACACACGTACGTACGTACGTACGTACGTACGTGGGAAAGGCCATGGATGGATGGATGGATGGACTCCCTGCACTAGACCACTGACTGACCGACGAAGCAGAAGATGCGCAGGGCACGCGGACCTGAATGAATGAATCACAGACACACACAGGGACACAACCACAATCAACCACCAACGACGAGTAGAGCGAGAGAAAGAACCCACCCCAAACACACACACACACAACAACACACACCACGCGCTCCTTGCCGGGCCCGTGTCCGACTGACCTCGGTTCTGTCCGCCCCCCGCCCCACCCCATCCTTGCCCACTGCGATTCGGTGCCGCCCAGCGGGCGCTGTGCTCGCCACCTGACCGATGGATGGAGGGATGGAATGGATGGACACACACAGACACACACAGAGAGGAGAGGTGTGTGGTGGGGTGGGGTGCGGTGTGGGGGGTGTGGTGTGTTGGTGTGTTGGCAACCTCGTTCGAACAGAGCGCTGTCTTTGTCGTCGCACGGGATGAGCTGGGGGAACATGGCGAAGAAGGCCCTGAGCTGGTCTGGCCGGGGGTAGAAGTTGACCACGCCGTTGCTGCCAGTCTTGCCCTTATCTTGTTTGAAGGCAGGGGCGAACATTTGGATGCCCTCGACCTCCCCCTTGGTGTTCTCGATCGCCTTGGCAAATTCACTAATCTGACGCACAGATATCAGATATCAAAAACACCGCCTCACTTTTCGGTCACCGCCACACGACCCATCCGTTTGTCCACGTGTGTGCAGGTAATTCGTCGCTTACTCACCGTGAGCTCGAGACTCCCGAGTCCTAGCCCGAGTCCATAGGCAGGTGAGAGTTTGATGACGAAAAACCCGCCCTTGATGTCGACGAGTCTGATGTGGGCGTACTCACTGCACGCCCCGTAGATCCATGTGCAATATTGCCGCTTGATGCCATGAACCGTCACGCGGCAGTCCATCTCAGCCTCCTTTCGGCGCCCAGCCATCAGCTCCGATCAAATTTGATCTGCACGCCATACACAGCACACAGCACACAGCACACAGCACACGGCACACGGCACACGGCACACGGCACACGGCGACGGTGGTGCGGCCGCATTCAACACCCTTCCTTGCGCCCTCCCAGCTGACCAATTGCAGCTGACCTTATGGGCTATCACCAGACGACGTCAGCAGGGTCATCGGCACGCGCCCCTTTAAGATGAGAAGTGCCCGCCATGTTCGATAATGGCGGCTATCCATACACGTGTGCAATGTGATGATTTCCTTCGTGGCGCGCTCAGATGCCCTCAAAACCGAACGCTTCCGGCCAGGAAACCAACAGGACACAGGCGCTTCTTTTGTCGTTTTTCGTGTTCTGTCGTGCCGCCGGCATACATCTATCGTTCCATACGCCGACCCCTTTGCTGCCGTACCGTACCCCACCCATCATGGATAAGAAGGTGCGCGTGACGGCCAACGCCAAGCGGCACGGCATCGACACATACGTACGCAGGCTGTGTGCAGCATCGCTGATGGTGGTTTGGGTGTGATGTGTTTTGTGTGCAAACAGGTGCGGAGGAGGCGATGGCCTGTTGAACGCGAAGAAGCCCCAGCGGTAGCCTGATGACCAGCGGCCCCCATGGGGCGGGCTAGGGGGAGGGGCGGCCGCCGCTGCCGCCGCTGCCGCCGCGGCTGCTGCAGCAGGAGCTGGTGAGTCGTCGTGAATGTCATGCATGTCATGGTCGTCCTGCAGGCCGTTGTCGAATGGGAGGGGCGGGGGTAGGCGGGGGCGGGGGGAAGGGGAAGGCCCCCTGCTGCTGCTGCTGCTGCTGTGCCTGGGCATCGAGAGCCGCCTGTTTGTGTGAAGGAGCAAGACACAGCTGGACGCCATCCAGCATGGAACGTGGTAACCATCCACGATGGAACAATCGAAATTTGCAACGACGTGCACAGACAATGGTCAGTCACAGCAATGCACAGTTATTTTCACTGCCCGATGTCTTCCTCAATGCCCTGGAGGCGTCTCTGCAGTGCCAGTATCGACTGCTGTAGGGTGGCCTGCAAGACAAAAAGAGAGAACTCCCATCCGCCAACCATGCCCTCCCTCCCATTCCGATCATCCTCAGGATACTTACGTTCTCATTTCTGAGTGTCTTGAGCTGCTCATGGAGCTTCAGATTCTCCTGTCATTGGTCCCCAGACACACCACAGCAGTGGATAGATGACAGACAGCAGCAGTCGATGAATGAATCCCCCAGCCCCTTCGACTCGTTGACTGACATACTTACGTTTCTCTGTGCGACGAAGAACTTCTTGAGTTCGCCCTTGCTGTTGTCGAAGTGCTCCAATACCTGCACACAGATGCATCCGCAGCGAAAATGGATGGACACGAAGAAGGCCAGCTCATGACAGGGCTTCTCTGACCTCTTCTTTCAGCTTCTCGAGCATCTCTGCCACGTTGGTATCGCCATGCATGCCCTTGACCATGCGCAGCCCCTCGAGCTCCCGCTGGGCTTTCCTCAGGTCGTTTTCGATGAGGGCCTCCAGCTCACGAATCCGCTGCTTCAAGCCGCTGCCTGTCGTAGGGGTCATCAGGGTCTGACGCTCACGAGTAGCGGTGTCCATCGGGGCGGCCTCGGAAGCCATCCTGCAACGAACAAACAGTGGATCGAGAGTGGGGGAGGGTAAACGGTTGCTGCCTTACCTTGGGGGAGAGCAATCACTAGCAGGAAGCAGAAATGTGCAAGCTTGTGGGGGCAGAGTTGGGGCGATGTTGCGCGCTCAAAAGATGGTGCATGTGATTTTTGAGCGGCGCACGTAATCGACAGAACCCAACAGGAGGATTCTATCATTGCAGAAAGAGGTGTGGGACGGCGAGCCCCAGTGCAGTTGTTCGATGCTTTCCGGCGACGAAGCCAGCATCATGGCCAGCACCTTCCTCAACAAAACAATGGAGAAGGTCAGCAGTGAGTGATACGTGAGAAGGGATGCCGTGACTGCTCGCAGAAGCAGTGCAGCTCGGTGATCTACACTTCCGTCTCCCTTCCGTGTGTGTGGTGTATGTTGCAGCCAGCGCTGAATCAGTACTGGTTCAGTGAGGAGACCATCAAGGCCATCGTGGATGAGGTGGAGACGGAGGGCAACCGAGTCGCCTTTCTCTCGACGCCCAGTGTCTTCTTCTCCATGGTCGATGCCGACCCCACCGTGGTGCAGTGCAGCAGGCTCTTCGACGTAATGGCACTCAGAATATATCATCAGACAGGGACAGATGGGGTGTGGAAGGTCCACCTGCAAAAATGCAATGCATCTGTGCGGGCGGTCATCCCATGGATACATGGTCTTGCGGGATGTGCGTGTGTGTGTCTGCCCTTGTGTTTGTATGTCTGTCTGTCTGCGCATGACATGCATGCAGTACGATGTGTCTTTCGCAAGCCATCCGTCGTTCGTGTTTTATGACTTCAACAATCCCGAAGAGCTGCCGGACCACCTGCTGCACTCGTTCGACTATGTCATCATTGACCCGGTAATGCATATCATCCAGAGAGAGGAACGTGTATCATGTCTCAATCGGACTTTGCATCATGTCTCTGTGTCTCCTGGCGGCTGCAGCCTTTCATCACGGAAACTGTGTGGCGCAACGTGAGGCAACGAAGAGAAACGGCCATGCACACCAAGCGCCGCATGTCTGTCCTCTTTCGTCTCATCAGTATGCCCGGACGACTGAGCTCTTGTGGCCGCCTGGGGGCGGCAAAGTCCTCGCGTCGACGGTCATTGAGAACGCCCCTCTGCTGCGCGAGTTGTTTGGCGCCAAGCCGGTCAACTTTCGACCAAGCGTACCCAATCTGGTCTACCAATACTCGGTAAGCTGCTGCTGGTGAGCATATATGTGTGTTGCTTTGGTGGCTATCTCCGTCTGTCCATGTCTCTGTGTGTGTGTGTGTGTGAGTACAGTTCTTCACCAACTACAGCAGCAGCGGCGGTCCTCTGAATACACTCAACAGTGAGGTCGATTCCGACGACTGGCAGGGGTCCGAGGACTATCGGAGCAGAGCTACGGGAAGCTCGGCGAGTTTGCCGCTGACGCAGTAGGCCAGTGCGGTGTGTGGCCGTCCATGCATGTGCGCTGCCTGCGTCTGAGGTGGTGAGCATATTCGGATCGCAATCGCATCGCATCGCAATTCATGCGACACGTGATGAACAGTTGAGTGAAGGAGAATGCAACCCGTCAGTCGTCAGTCAGGTCATGAGTTCCGTCCGTCCGCACGCACAGAGAGACAGAGGAAGGGAAGGCAGCAAGATATCGACACAGTGTGATCTCATCACGGGAGCTCTACACACGAAACACTAGGAAGGCATCGAGCCGACGCAGCACTGGGTAGCTCAGCGCTCACAGGATGTCCCCCTCACTCCTCAGATACTCACCCACATCCGCCTGCACACACGAGGCCAACATAAACGAACAACACGGAAGACCGACGGACAGATGCCTCTTCTCTGCTGCCCCTGTCCCTCACCTGATGGAAGACGATGATAGCTTCTGGGTCCGCCGATCTCATCTCGGCAACCGACCGTGCCGTCACCCCAAACCCTGACGAAACGACACCAGCAGCCCACACACTCGTACACGTACGTGTATGTGTGTCCATCCATCCCTCCGTGCACATCCGTCTGGTCACCTAGAGGGATATCATTCTGCGAGAGGAGCACCACGCCGGTGTTCTTTGGGCAGTTCTCCGTGATGCGGGCAAGATGACGCTGACACCAGAGAGGCCAGTTTAGTTTGTGTTGTGGGTCTGTCTGTCTGTCTTCCCTCAATCGCTCACCTTGACAATGTGGTTGCCGTAGACGAACGTCTGCTCCCCGCCCTGCTTCACCCACACCTTGTACTGAATGAAGACGAAATCGGAGGCGTATGAGATATACATTCGGCTAGCCACTAATGAGTGCCTGCCTGGTCCTGACCTTGGCGTATCTGGCGAGGTACTCGAGAGCCGTGATGGTGATGCGGAACTTGTGCGTCTTCGTGAACTTGCCGATGCACGTACCGCACGACAACTGCACTCACACACACAGACACACACACACACAGATCAACACACATAAGCCAACCACCGTGTTGTGTTGATTTCTTCCCTCCCCCTTCGCTCACGAGCTCCTTCCTCGGTACGCATGCCGCCATCTTCAACAACGACTCACTGATTGACAGCAGGACAGACACACACACCGAGAAGAGGACCAGATGAGAGAATTCATGTGACTGACCAGGCCAGCCAGACACCGCCCTCCCCTCGTCCCCCTTTCTTCTCACCTGCAGTAGTAGACTCTGTCTTTGTGTAGCCGGAACACATAGGTCTCGTCAGGCCGCTCCACCAGCTGCATCACGTTCTCACCGATGCTGCATCATCCACACACACACAGACAGAAACCAGCCAAAACCGATGAGTCATTGTGGTGCCAGTGCATCCGTCGCTTCGTCCTCACTATTTGGCAAGCTTCTCGAAGACGGCAGTGGTCTCTTCTTGCGTCAGAGGCCGCATCTCCGCTGATGTCGAGATGGTTGAATGGAATCGATGAAATCACGCAGATCTTGGAGAAGCCTTGAACTGTGTCGTGAATGCTGTCGTTCACAGGGTGTTGAATGAGGATTCAGACTCTGAAGCTCGTGCTCTGTTTCACGCAGACACTAAACGAAAAAGGCGAGGCGAGGCAAGTAAAAAAGCGGAAGGATGACTCGTTTCGACACTCACAGTCCCGTACGGAGGAAAGCCGACACGTCGGCCTCGGTAAGTGCACTGATGGATGGCGTCACGCAACAGTCGGGGCGCACAGAGCCTCGTGGGATGGCAATGTGCCGGCATGCATGGAGAAATGAACGAATACGCCTTTCTGCATCGTTGTCCGTGGTTGTATGTTCTCAGGCAACGATTGCGGCACCGCCCAAAGAGGAGGACGGTTGTTCTCTGCGGGCGACGCGTCGCATCACCGCGAGCACCACAGACGAGGACCCGTCGCCCTGTGCCCAGTCGCCGTTTCGGCTAAGCCCCCGGCAGTCGTTCGACATTGCCACTGGAGCCACCTCGCGTGCAGACGGCGTCGGCTTGGCCGGTCGCATCGCCACGCCCCCCACAGACGCCCACACGGACGTCACGGCACACGCCAGGAAGCAGCGGGCGGCCGACACGACTGACGACAGCAATGCGGCCGCCAGGAAGCAGCGATCGGTCACAGGTAGTGCAGCTGGTCGGAGAAAGCGGCCCTCGCCGCCACAGACGGCCGATGGTGCTGCTGGTGCTGTTGGTGTTGAGAGGGGTCATGGCGGTGAGAATGCCGCGATGATCGGCCCAGGTGTCGGCATCCGCACAGGAGGTGAGAGGGAGAGAGAGGGAGGGAGGGAGGGAGGGAGGGAGGGAGGAGGACCAACACGCGGACACGTATGTTGTGTGTTTGTCACTCGTTGATGTGTGCAGGTGGCCGAGGTGACCCTTTTGCTGCCTTGGCCGATGTGACGAGGACATCCGGCGGCACTAACGCCCCCCGCCCCCTTTGCTCACCCGCACCACAGGACGGCCCCAAGACACTCACACTCACCACAAACCACTCTGGCTACATGAATGAGGAGATGGAGCTTGTGGATGCGGTGGAACGTGTCGTATATCGCTACGCACTGGTTGCCATACAGTTCCTTGACAGGTGTGCACGCGCGTCATAACGCGCATAGCACCTGACAACACGACACTCTCATTCACGCGCTCTTTGTCCGATGTGGTGTGTCGGTGTGCAGCAGCGAGGCCATGGAGGCGGCCCTTCGCCGCAGCCGGCATGTGTCGTTCCATCAGTCACCGTCATCGCCCCCTCTTGATGCGAATGGTGCATCATCGGCCACCATGCCGCGACGCGTTCCCGACCTGCTCCTCCCAGCCACACTCCCAGCTCAGTCACGACACCATCACCACCGTCAGCAGCAGCGAATCCCTCCTACAGCCGCCCCGCAGCCGCCCCATGCCATGGCCTTCGCCAAGACGCCTTTATTGCCGCTGAAGGCCAGTGGCGCCGAAGCTGCTATTGGTGTTGACAAGGGGGGCATCCGCAGAGGAGGTAAGTCGGGATGGAAGCCAGAGGGGATGTTTCATCTTCAGACACACACATCGATGGATTGATATGTTCTTTCTCTTCTTGTTCCTTTCTTCCAGGGCTGCCATGCCGTCGTACCCGCCAGTGATGAGCAATTGTGCATAGTGATGTGTTGATTGCTTGAATGGTCGGTGTGATTTTTGGAGGGAATGATGCGTATAGGAAGCATTCATTGCATTCATTGCATGAACGATGCTGTCCATGACCGATACCACTTGTACGTACGACAGGTGCATTGCAATGCATTGACAAGAGCCTTTTGCTTTTCCCTATGATGGCGGTGTTGCCTCGCGAGGCTTCTCTCGTCGCCCAGATCAGAATTCGCCTCTTCACGTGCGTGCACGGTTTTCCACGTGCACGGTTTTGTAGACAAGGGCCGCATCAGGAGGCACCATCACTTTCCACCGTGCCGGTCTTCTCTTGATGGCCTTCGCCTTTCCGTGCGCCTCAGATTTGGCGAGACTGCGAGACGGACCTCCCACAAACCCTTATTTATTATTGCGTAATTCAGCACTGACCCGCCTCGGGCTGCCTCTGTACCACTATCCCATGACGTCGATACCACTGGTTGCAGCACGATGAGGACGGTGCTGTTGCCATTTTCCTGCAGTCCGCGCCACGGCGGCACGGCCGAGCCAGACCTGATGCGGCAGGCCATGTGCTCCAAACCGGCGCCGCCCGAAGAGCAGGCGTCGCATAACCACCAGCACCACAGACGGGGACCCCTCGCCGTACGCCCACTCGCCGTACGTCCAGTCGCCGTTTGGCACCAATGCCCTCGACCCCATACGCGACGCGTTGGCGTTGGACCTCAAGGCTGAGCTGGAGGTGGTGCATGCCGAAGAATGCGTGAGGTATCGGTATGCTCTGGTCGCGATAGAATTCATCGACAGGTATTATAGGGCCTGACATACCACGACATGCCACGCCTCACATGCTCTTGTATCGTGCTGCGTGTCGGTGTGCAGCAGCGAGGCCATGCAGGAGGCCGCTCGCCGCAGCCAGGACGACAAACCAAACAGATGGCTGCAGCAGGTGAGTCCGTCATGAGCCGAGAAGATCCTTTTCGTCACTTTCACTCTCCCCCTCCCTTCCCTCCCCTCTCCTATGTGTGTGCAGATGGCAGAGCTGCAGAGTGAGAGGGACAGACTACAGCGGGAAAACGAAGGGCTACAACGTACGGAAGTGTGCACAATGGACAATCGATGGATGGCATTCTGCCCCCACCACATGTGTATATCTGATGCGGGCGGGGATGGGGGGATGCAGATGACAGGGCGGAGTTGCTGAGTGTGATTCGGGCATACGATAAGCACCTAAGGGCTGCCGCATACCTCTCGCACGATCACGAAGGCTTCAGACTCCCCACACGACCTGTAAGCCGATAAGTGACCCACACAAGAAGACACAGACATGCATCTGTGGGCATGCAATTTCTACAGGTCAAGGCTTCGCCACCGCCCCCCACCATCGCTCCTGACGGCGCCCCGGCAGCCGAGCCGGCTCGACCGGCCAGTCCGGCTGGTGGCAGTGTGACTCTCCGACAAACGGCACACGCAGGCAAACAAAGAGGTGCGACTGCAGACAGGGACAGCAAATGGAGGCACTCATTGATGTGTGTATGGATGTGTCCCGTCCGTGTTTGCGCGTACGGAAGGCCGAAGCGGGAAAAGGCGAAAGCGCCGTAGAAGGTCAGAACGATGACCCAAGCTGTTTTCGACACTCACAATCCCGCACGAATGAAAGCCAACACGTCCTCCTCGGTAAGTGGTGCACTGATGGATCACGTGACGCCGCAGTCGGGGCGGACAGGGCCTCATGGGATGGCCATGCGACATGCATGGAGAAACGAACGAATAGGCCTTTCTGCATCGTTGCTTGTGGTTGTATGGTTTCACAGCAGGCCTCTCTGCGGGTGACGAGTCATCACCGCGAGCACCACAGACGAGGACCCTTCCCCTTTTCCCATGTCGCCATTCCGTCTAAGCTCCCGGCAGTCGTCTGCCGTAGCCACTGGCGCGAGCGTGGCCTTACGTGCCATAGACGCCCACACGGACGTCACATCTCACCCCAGGAAGCAGCGTGAAGCCGACATGACCGCCAACAGGGACACGGCAGCCATCAGAGTGCCCGAGAAGGCCTCTGATGGGAACGTGACGGCCAGTGCAGCTGGTCGCAGGAAGGGACCTTCACCACCAGAGACGGCCAATGGTGCTGCCGGTGCTGGTGGTGTTGGTGTGGGGAGAGGCCCTGGTGGTGAGTACGACGATACCGCGATGATGATCGGACCAGGCGTCGGCATCCGCACAGGAGGTGAGAGAGAGAGAGACAGGGAGAGGGAGAGGGAGAGGGAGAGGGAGGAGGACCAACACACACGCGGACACGTATGTTGTGTGTTTGTCACTCGTTGATGTGTGCAGGTGGCCGAGGTGACCCTTTGCTGCCTTGGCCGATGTGACGAGGACATCCGGCAGCACAGACGCCCCCCGCCCCCTCCACTCACCCGCACCACAGGACGGCCCCAAGACACTCACACTCACCACAAACCACTCTGGCTACATGAATGAGGAGATGGAGCTTGTGGATGCGGTGGAACGTGTCGTATATCGCTACGCACTGGTTGCCATACAGTTCCTTGACAGGTGTGCACGCGCGTCATAACGCGCATAGCACCTGACAACACGACACTCTCATTCACGCGTTCTTTGTCCGGTGTGGTGTGTCGGTGTGCAGCAGCGAGGCCATGGAGGCGGCCCTTCGCCGCAGCCGGCATGTGTCGTTCCACCAGTCACCGTCATCGCCCCCTCTTGATGCGAATGGTGCATCATCGGCCACCATGCATTCCATGCTGTTGTGTGGGTCACTCAATCGTTGATGTGTGCAGGGGGTCGTGATCCGTTTACTGGCCTGGGCCAAGGGATGAGGGCATCCGGGACAGAAGGCCCCCGCCCTCTCACCGCTTCCACAACACACCACGCCCCCACGACACTCACACCCATCAGGCCCCCATTAACAATAACAATACCACCGTTGTTGTGGTAGTACAAAGACAAAAGAAAGCATTCATTTGTTTTGTCTGTTGCCTTGCGTCTCAGATCATCGCTGCCTGCATTTTATATTCGATGGACCTTCAAGAAGCCTCCCGTCGAGTCCTCCGGCCCGCAGCCACACCGGCCAATACACTGTCACCGTCAAGGCGGGGACTCTTCATGATCGGGGCGTTGTGGAGCCCTCCGAGTGTCGGCCAGCGAGTGGATACGGAGCTCGGTCACAGAGTTGGAGCCATCCTCGGATACAAAATTCGGTACCGAACGCGCCTTTCGCTGACAAAAAATCGACTTCGCCTCCCATGGCATCTGCTCCAGGCACGGCAGCAAAAGTAGCTGGCAGACCAAGATCTTATTCGCGACTACAGGGGTGGCGATCAGGTCAGCAGGCCGCCTGAGAGTCAAGCGCATCTTTGTGGCTTGTACCTCTTGAAATCAGGATGGCGCTGTCGGACAAGTTGCTGTCTGAACTCACCCACATCATGGTCGACGAGGTTCATGAAAGAAGTCAGCACACTGACTTTTTGCTCGCGTATCTGAAAGACGTCCTCAAGGTGACGACCAGACTTGCTGTCTATTTGTTAATGTCGTATGTGTCTCTTCCATCGTCAGCGCCGTGTCGAGCCTCTCCGAGTGGTGCTGTTGTCTGCGACGATTGATGAGGAGAAGTTCAGTGGATATTTTGACTTGTGGGCTGAATGAGATGCCATGTCTTGTGGTGCACAAATCTAGAGGTACAATCACATCACCAATCGACTCATACTAATCGTTGTTTTCCATTTCCCCCGCGGCAACGCTCAGGACGTGATAGAGAAGACCGACTACTATTACACCTACCCATATGCGAGACACGACGCGCCTGTAGGTGTACGACCCCGCAAGAGATAATGTCAGGCGTTTGTGTTTGCAGAGATTCTGGAGCCGGGCGTCGACCGATGACAGAGAGGAGCTACCCTGAGAGAGTCCTTTTGCAGCTATGCCGACGAAAGAAAGTAAGAATGTACGTTACGACAGAACCATGTCTCGTCGGTGTGTTGCCCGTCACATGACATCATCAACTACGGGCTGATCCGACGGCTGGTTGTGCACATCCGCACGACTATGCCCCCAACCGAAGCCGTCGTGATCTTCCTCTCGGGCGCCGACGAGATTAAGACGTGCCTCTACGAGCTGCGGCGTCTGGTTGATGACCGTCGGCCGCCCGAGTTCTTCCTTCTACCTCTTTACAGGCACCTTTCTTCAGATGATCAGAACATGGTTCTGGAGATGCCACCAGAGGGTACAAGAGAGAGAGAGAGAGAGAGAGGCAGATATATGACGTATATTGTTCCTTGATTCAGGGGTGAGGAAGATCGTACTCAGCACGAACATCGCTCAGACGTTGATTACGAGGGGCCCTCGTCCCGGCCCTCCCCTTTTCCCGCCGCGGAGCGTCTGCTGAAGCAGCCACATTGGCGCTCTTTCGACCGCTCCCTTCTGCCCTCCGGGGACCCCCTGCATCGCCCTCCTGGTGGTCCTCAAGCCAGTGACGATGGGCAGCTGTTTTGGTGGCCCTCAAGCCGCTCAACCGCCTCAAGCCGCTCAACCGCCTCAACCCCTCAACCCTCTGTATGTGCGCTTCATCTTGTCGGGGAAGCGCGACCTCAGCCGCCCGCCCCCCTACCGGCGGATTACCGGGATTATGATTGACGACGTTCGGTGAGAACGATTGGATGAAAGACAGAACATGCAGATGAATACAGAAAGAGGGATGAGTCATGAGGGTTGTTGTCAGGCACGTAGTCGATACGATGATGCACAAAACAATGTTCTTCGACAACAACACCCGGGTAAGGATATAAATAGTACACAACCGAGCTGTTGTGCAGGTCCGGGAACTCACGACAATGACTATATCGCGAGCGGAAGTGAGCGGAAGCAGAGACGCACACTTCGGATCAGTCAAGGAAAGGGACGAACAGGGCGGGTCGCTCCAGGTACGTGCTGGCGGCTAATTACTCGATCCGAGTTTGAGGACCTCGAGCCGAACGGCATGCCGGCCATTGAAGGGAGTCACTCGATGAGCTTGCCTTGCACATCCTCGCAATCACTGACAGGTCTGCCTTTACACACCACGGAAATGGACAAGAATGTCATGGTGTTTGTGTGAGTGCGTATAAGTTTAGTGGCGAGCCTTCTTCATTCTTCAACGAAATGATCGATCCACCTTACCCACACCGCATCGACGCATCGGACATTTCGGCCATTCAGGTCAGCAGGAGACGCAGAGACACAACAATATGCAGCACGCATGTCTTGCATGTACACAGCCCTTCAGCTCACAACCCTTGGTGCTCACCTAGCCAGGCTGCCTGTCGACTTGAGAGCGGGAAGCTGCTTCTGATTCTCTGTGCGCTGGGCATCCCCAAATAGGTCAGCGAAGGGAAAAGATCGACTGTCAACGAGCTACGGTACAGATGTATGTATATCATGACAGGCCCACACCATCGCCGCGGCGCTGTCAGTCGAGAGTCTTTTCAAGGCGCCACTCGACAGAGAGGCAGAGGCGGACGCTGCGCGAGCCCATCTTTGTTTCAGAGACAACGCATCACGCCTGCATGTGTGTTCTCTGGATGCATCGTTTCTTCCTCTAAACGCAGGTGCCGACCTACATAGTCACCACCTGGCTGTCTGCAGAGATCCAGCTCCGTTAGCGGCAGCGGCTGGACTTCTTCCGTCAGCGAGCGACTCAAATTCAGACACATGTATGTATGTATGTATGTATTGGTGTGTGTGTGCATTTAGGTGACGAGTGCTCGCTCACTATGGCTGACGTGTGGAGTAAGCAGGCATGGGGCATCCCACTCGTCATCGTCGATCGCATCACCTTCCCCGGTAAGCAACCGATCAAGGCGCACATGAAGTATGACTGTATGACTGTGTATTTGTGTATTTGTGTGTGTGTGCATGTGCTTCAGAAGTTCAGCTACGACGGCCACAACGCCCCACCAGTATCGAGCGCGCGTCACGTGGATTTGGCCGTGGCCGCTCCAGAAGGAGATCAACAGCGAGTGGACGCAATGGTCGACCGAAGCGACAAGCGAGGAGGTGGGCTGGGTGACTGACAGAGACAGACCCGACCCAGACAAAAACAACAACACATCCGCGCGTCATCGTATCCACTGCTTGGCTTGCTGGCTGCAGAGCAGCGAGGAGGGCGAGGCCGTGTTTAGCGACCGCAAGGAGTTCATCATGATCTTTGCGTGCAGCGAGTGAGCGGTCGAAACGAGACAGACAAGAAAGATGCCACCCAGATGCAGCCCACATGCACATGCCTTGTCTCCATCTTTGGTGGTGTCCACACAGGGCGTTTCGTTTCGACGTAGAGGTCAGGAGCACCTCTGGCGAGACCATCAGCGTCGGCAGCACCCCTTCCATGCACCCCCGGCAGCCCCGGTTGTTGGGCTGACGGCAGCACATCTCAAGAGACGGTGGACCTCAACCCGAAGGTGGAGGACGGGCAGACGCAACAATAAACCATCCACTTCCTGCACCGGCTGCACGGCTGTGACACTGCATAGGTGGCTGGAGGGGCCTGACGAGACGAAATAGTGTAGTGTAGTGAGATGGATGTAGCTACGGATGCAGCTGTAGTGCGACATCGATCGTTGCCTGCATTTTATATCCAGACGTCTCTGTGTCTCTGTTGTCCCGTTACAATCGATAAAGTTGTTCGGTTACAATCATGCGTAATGGGCACAAAAGTCTCACCACACACGCGTCCCCGCCGTCTGTCTGTCTGTCTGTCTGTATCTACTGTCCCTGAATGACCTTGCCGCGCCACTTGACGCTTACGAAGTCTGCCTGTTTGGCCTGCCACTGCTTGCCCAGGAGATAGAACAGATGCCTGTCCTCCAGCCGCTGCCGATTGAAGGCCTGCATGACGTTGGACACATCAACACACGCCAAGTCGCCCACACGCTCCTACACACACAGACACACAGACATCAATGACTCTAGGTGTCTCGTCAGCTACTGGGTTGTCACACAGTGTACCTTGATGAAGGGCACAAAGACACGATAGAAGTCAGCGTCGCCGAAGTCGAGGTAGGCCAGCGACCGCAACACAGACGACAACTCGCCCAACGTGAAACTATGACCATGCACACCAGCACCACACCACACCACCACGTTACGGTTGTATACATTCTCTGTGGACGGGGGGGGTGTGGTGTGCCGTGCCAGCAATCCTTACTAGTGGACTCGTTGGCAGATGTGTTCCCCCAGCCTCTCCAGCACGTTGAAGCGCTCTCCCTCTTCCTTGGCCTCCAGCCACGGCAGCTTGCGCGACACGAAGAACCGGAGCGTGCGGCCACGGGCGTTTTTGGCGCGGGCGGGTGTCTGCCGCCAACTCACCAGACCCTTGAGGTAAAACACCAGGTGGAACGGCTTGGCCAGGTCGGCGTGGAACAGGCGAAACATGCTGCACACGAAAGAGGGAGAATACACACAAAGGGGGGAAATGGCTGCGTGGTTGTGTGGGGCGAAAGGGGTTGCTGGTTGACCGTCTGGTCATGGCCTTGACGAGGTCTTCGTTCTCAGCGACGAGCCGATTGGTGGAGAGGAAGTTCATGGCAGCGGCGAGCTGCAGGGGGTCGAGCTGCTCCACTGCCTGCGGCTCATGCAGCCGCTTGGCCAGCACCGTCCGCAGCTCACGGTAGTAGTCAGCCCACTCGTGAAACCGAAGCTGCACACGGACCCACACGTGACGAGAGAGACGGGTTCACCGTGAGATAATGTCTGTATGGCTTGCACTGACCAGGAGAATTGCGTCCATGACGATGGCGATCTGCCCGAGGTCATACTCCACCACCCGCCCCTCCACGGCCTCTGGCAGGTCCCGCCTCTCCTCAGCCAACCCCGCATTCACCTCCTTCTCACGCCCCTCGTTCATCTCCACCTGCCACCCCTCCAGCCCCTCCTCGCCGCCTTTGCCGGCCTTCTTCCGGATGCGGCTGCCCAGGGGCAGGCCATAGAGGGACGGCAGCCCACAGCCGTACTCGTAGCTGGGGAGGGCGTAGCGGGAGAAGAGTGCGTCTGTCGGGGCGGCCGTCACGGCAAGGTCCTGCTGCTCCACCTGACCCAGGCCTGCACAGGGAGAGGCGAGCGCCACACATGCACATGAAAATATCAAGTCTTTGTGTGTCGTCCTGTGCCTGCATTCATCCGTACCTATCTTGGCCTGGAGCCGTTCGTATTCGCCCAGAATCTCCTCAGCCACGGTGCGGAAGAAGGTGGAGTGGTTGAACTTGAGCAGCGCGTAGGTGCGCGCGAGTTTGGTCTTCTCGAAGGGCGTGAGCTTGCCCACACACAGCAGGGGGTGCAGCCGGCGGGCAGCGTGCCGCAGCATCTCCTCGTCCCGCGACTCGAGCGCCGCATAGCTGTGCAGGAGGTCGATGAGGCTGCGGGCGGAGAAGGCCACCGCCTCCTCTATCACCAACTCGGCCACGTCATTCATCAACTGATCGACGCATCAACGCACCGGACACAAAGGATGACTGTCCGCCCCGCCATGTGATCTGTGCTCACCTCTGTTAACTATCTATCTCACCTGAATGTGTTTGCGGCCGAGTGATGCGAGTATGGTGACGAGGCGCGTGACGGTGTCGGTAGGGAGGCCGTGGAAGTCCTGCCGCCCCCTGCGGATGAGCAGCTGGATCAGGCTGTCCGAACGACAGCTGATCTTGGCGTACGAATCGCCTGACCGATCCGATACACGCACACGCACGGTCCACACACACGCAGGATCCGATCCATGCACACGTTGGTGTGCGTGTGTGTACCGATGTTGAGCAGCTGGTCGAGGTGGGTACGCTCCGCCTCAAAGAGGGGACGAGACGACTCTGTCACCTTATCCCAAAAGGTCGCCTGACAAACAAACAAACAAACAAACAAGGCCCAAGCAGCGACAGACAGACAGACATCTGCACTGACATTCGGCCAGCGCACTCCATACCTGATGGAATCTCTTTCTGGCGAACACCTCGGCCATCCTCTCGTAGTCATCGATGTTGGTCACGCCCCGCCTCCGCAGCTCAGCCGCATACCGTCGCCAGAGGCCCTCGCTCTCCCCTCCCGCCTCATACACAGGGAAATCATTGTTAACCTTGCTGAGGGAGCCGGAGAGGTTGCCGGTGGCCAGATCTTCGAATGCGGGCGCAGCAAAGGCGAACCGATGAAAGTCAAAGTCAGATTGGGCAGCTGCCGCTGCTGATGACTGGCACCGGACAAACGGCAGGAGGGGCGGGAGAGGCCGGGGCAGAGAGCGACAGTGCCGTCCTGGTGCGCTCAACGTCTGCATCACGGAACGGTGGCTAGGGTTGGAAACCCTCGACCCCGTGCACGTCCTTTCTCTGCACGCCCAGCTCGCAGATGCCAATTAGGCGTGACAAATGGAGGGGCGCAAGCGGAACCACAAGTCGCGCACGCAAGGAAGAAATGCAAAACGCAGATCGGTCGGATTCATTCAACTCAACTGTACAAACACGACACGGGCCCCTTGCTTTGCAATGGCCCTCCACTCACTCACTCCGACTGGCTGCCCCATGGATGGGATGAAGCCAACCACACTGCCCTGCCAGCTATCGACCTACACAGCCCCCCTACCCCTAATCATCTCCCACCAAACCACCACCCGTCTCATCGACCGACGTCGTCTGCCCCTCCACTTTGTCGCTGTCGTCCAGGTGTGACGTGATCCTGGCAATCTCCAGCAGATGCTGGTCGCTGAGGGCGAAGAGCGGCGCCGCCAGGCACTCAGGCAGCTCGTCCCTCCCCGCCACCCTCACATCCCCACTCAGGACGGCCCTGATGGACCCCGCACGGACGGCAGTTCCCTGGGTCTCATCGTCTTCGGGGTCGCTGTCGTCATCGCCCTCACTCTCGTCATGGTCGAGAGGCGTGGGGGATGTGGGCACGGCTGAGGAAGCCGCTGGGGGGTGGGAGGGGGAGGAGGGGACGGATGGCTCAGTAGGGAAGACCACTTGCAGGCTCAGCCGATGCCGCTGAATGTGACCAACTGAACGGACGGATGGCAAAAACACACGTGCGTTTGCGACCCGACCACGTAGGGTAGGGCCACCAAGTGTTTCAGTGAGTGCAATCACTCACTGGCATCGAGCAGCTCCCGCAGCGCTTCCGTCTGCCCCCGCACCGCCAGCCTCAGATGGTCGTCCGGCAAGCTGTGGCTACCCTCCTCGATGCTCTCCAGTGACGGCAAAGTCTCCGTGCTGGTCGTCATCTCCAGGTCGTTCAGCTGCCCGTCACGCCACAGCTCCAGCCGCCCCTCCCTTGACGAATCCTTGTACAGGTCCACCTCGTTGATCTTCAACAGCGATACCACCGATATCAGCAGCCGCTTCAGCTTCCTCTCGTGCTCGACGTCACGCTTGAACCGCGTCAGCACACGCACGTCGGTCGGCAGCCTCTGAAGCACCTCGCCCTCACGAACCGCGCCCCACTCGGTGTCTGGGTCATGCTGCAAAGTGGTCTTGGCGGGGTGGGCTTTGTCATCGTCACTGTGTGGTGAGGGGCCTTCTGGTGGTGGGATGGTCACGTCGAGGGAGTCGCTGGACGAGGAACTGGAGGGCGTGACGGTCGATGTGACGGAGCGGGTGGCAGAGGGGGTGGGCCTCTTGGTCGGAATGACCCTGCACACACAGCACAGCACAGAGAGCAGCCGTGTGCGCGAATGGCCATGTGGATACATACACATTGCACTCATTGCCGGAGTGTGTGTGCGTTACCTACCAGGCTAGATGCCTCGGTTTGATGACGCCCGACTGTATGCCGGCAAACAGCGATGTGGTCTCCTCAATCGCGTCGGCCTTCTGCACCCACCTCACCAAATACCCACACATCTCACACAGCACGTCCAACAGCACTGGGCCGACTGCAGGTGCCACCCGCCGCACTTCGGCGCCCCTCTCATGCAGCCCCTGGTAGTAGCGATGCAGCCCCAGCACCGTGCTGAGGGGCATCGGCGGGCGTGACGACCGGCCGCAACCCCAGGTGCTGGTCCACGCGTCCCGTCGCCGCGCCAGCACCCGTGGCGGCATACGGGTGGCGGCGACGACGCGGGCAAGGGACCCTGCCCCTGTCACCACGGGCACTTGCCGGCTGAGACCCTGCCTCCGCTCCCTCCACGCCCTATCCACAGCCTCCCACGCCGCCCTTGTCTTGTCGTCTGGCGTCAGGGCATCACTGGGGAAGCACCGACGCCGGAGCGTCCTCTGGAACTGACGCCAATACGTCATGAGGGCCAGAGTGTTGCCGTGGAAGTGCTGAAGGGGGTCACTGGCACCGGCCGTCTGCTGCTGCTGCTGCTTCGGGGGGGATGAAGGGGAAGAGGGAGAGGGTTGGGGAGGGGAGGGCAGCCAGGCCGGCGAATGGTTGCCCATGTAGAGCCAAAAATACACGAGCGCCTCGAGCAGCTCGCCGGCGAGATGACGCACACGTCTGTACACGGTCATCTCCTGAGTGAAAGAAACATCACACATCAAGAGGAGGAAAACTCACCACGCCAGTCTGCGCTCATTCATGGGCACGGTCCAGCTCACCTTGCGCGGATCATCCTCTCCACTGGATGTGCCCATGACCAGGTTCAGTGAGCTGTGCGACTCGGCCAGCAGCTGTGCCACGAACAAGCACTGCAACTCCACCACCAATGAGGTCAGCAAAGATGACATCAAGGCATCGTTGGGTGTGGCAGGCGGCTGGGTGTGGAGGTCCAGGAGTGTCCTCTGTGCGTTCTCAAGCGTGTTTGCCGTCTGCTGCAGCCGCTGCTTCAGCGCTGTCCAGAAGTGCTTGGTCACGAGGCCCAACACCTCCAGGCTGTGCCTGTCGAGCGAAGCCCGCACCGTGTCGATGACCACTTCAAGCGCCTCCATCACCTTCAATACCATCCCTTCTGGAAGTATCTATTGGCTATCTATTCAAGAGGAAGAAGCGTTCTTCTCGCGCTCGTCAGCGAGCTAATTCTTGCGAGCTTAAAAGAAAGGCAGAGTTGCGAAAGAGGCCTTGTTTTTGCTCGGCATCAGCACTAGTGCATCAGCAGGAGTGTCCTGTGGTACAGCCGAGGAGAGAGCCTCCCTGTCGACAGGTCTCGCCGCCTTCGTCGTTTGTCTGAGGTTCGCCAGTGGTCTGTCCGTCAGGGCATGCCTCTTGATGACTCAGAAGCGTGCCCATCGCAGCAGTGACGACACCGACAGCCCGTCACCCGCCTCGTCAGCCCTCGTAGCTGCCTCCACCGCCGCCACGGCGCGTGCCTCAGGTGGAAGCGACACGCACAGGATGTCGGAGGACGAAAGGGAGTCCGCGGCACACGCCAATGGGCCGGGGAGCGACCACAACGAGGATGGCAGCGACAATGAAGTCGAGTGCTGCCCGCTGTGCATGGAGGAGCTCGACGATACTGACAAACACTTCTACCCTTGCAAGTGTGGCTACCAGGTCGGTCGCCCCGCCCTCACCGCAACACACACGACCACAGCACCGAGAGGACAGAGAGGAGAGGACACAAACAAAAGACAGTCGCATCTCATCTCATCTCATCTATGGTGTTTGCTGCTTTGATGGGGTGTTTTCTGTCTGTCTGTCTGTCCTTTTTGTTGGTTCTACCTACCATGTCGAAAATCGATCAGGTGTGTCTGTGGTGTGTGCATCACATTCGGGAGCAGCTCAATGGCAAGTGCCCCGCGTGCCGCACGCCATACCACGAAGACAACTACACAAGAAGAGTGCCCAAAGAGTACGTATGGACAGACACCACACACAACACAATACATACCAACAGCCTTTTAACCACTCCATCATTGAGGGATGATTCTCCTGACTTGTTTCCTGTGTGTGTCTGTTGTCTGTCTGCAGCAACAAGCCGAAGCGGCCCCGCCAGACGGCACGTCGCGAGGACAACCGTTGGAATCGCAATGACGCCTGCCGGCAGCCGGTGCTGTTGCCAAAGGACGCCAAGGCCCTCGCCGGGGTTCGTGTCATCCAGCGCAGTCTGGTATACGTCATCGGGCTGCCGGAGCACGTGGCGGCGGCGGACGTGCTGCAAAGCAAGTACTTCGGGCAGTTCGGCAAGATCATCCGGACAGTCGTCACCAAACAGCCCACATCCTACAGCGGGTAGGTTATGTTAGTTAGCAAAGAAGAGAGGCAGGCAGAGAGGCCACGCCGGCGATGCGTTTGCATTGGTGTGTGTGTATATGTGTGTGTGTGTGTGTGTTGTCAGTGCCAGTGGCCCGACCTATTCTGCGTATCTGTATTACCAGCGCAACGAAGACGCTGCCAGCGCCATATCGGTGAGAGAGAGAGAGAGAGAGAGAGAGCAGGCTTGCAGCAAGGAGGGAGGGCCGCGATGACATCCATGTCTGGCTATGTGATGTGTGCTGTGCAGGTGATGGATGGATCGTCGATCGACGGTCAGCAGATCAAGTGTTCGTACGGCACCACCAAGTACTGCTCCTACTTCCTCAAGGGGCAGAAGTGCACTCTCAAAGACTGCCTGTACCTGCACCACCTGGGGGAAGACTCTGATAGGTACGCAGCCACACACCCATACCAATACCAACACCCACACGAACACACCATACACATACACACCACACACGCCTTGCCGTGTGACGTTTTCTCAGTTTCACCAAGGAGGCGATGGTGAATTCCCGCCATCAGTTCCACAACCAGGTCATGCCCGACGGCCCACTCACGACCAACAAGGCCGGGGCAGCCAAATTCGGATTCGGCACATACGGCCGCAGACAACAGCAGCAGCAGCAGCAGCAACAGCAACAGCAGCAGCATCAGAGGACCCCATCCACAGGGCCCACTCCCTCCCCATCCACTACACCCTCCCCCAATGCGCCCGCCCCTGCTGCTGCCACTACTGCCGCTGCTTCGTCCGGCACACAACAGCCACAGAAGGACAAGGACAAGGAGAAGGAGCCCCGCGATAAGGACAAGGACAAGGACAAGGATGTGGTGATGGCTGACGGTGGTGGGAAGGGCGACGAGGGAGAGGGCGAGAAGGGTGGCCAGGGGAAGCTGGGGATTCAATACCTGCCGCTGATCACGGCTGACGGGCCGCTGCCCTCGTCCTCTTCATCGGGCAGCTACCATGTGCCGCTGGTCGTCGCGTCTGGCAAGGGGTAAGTAGCTCGAGCATGGCGTCGTTTGGTTGTGGTGTCCATTCCATTCACTGTCACGATGTGTGTGTGGTTGTCTGTGTGTGAGCATTTCAGGTCTCAGAAGGATAGTCGACACACTCATCGCAATGCCACTAGCCAACGGTGAGTCAGAGGAGGTGGAGTAGCTCACCGAGAACACGGCGAATTTTCTCCCTGTGTGTGTGTGTTGTTTCAGGGGTAGCCGGAGCCACCATATGCACAGCCCCATCAGCGGCCTGCATAACGATGTAAGCACCACACACACCGCCACGCCGCACCCCCGAGTGGCAGAGATGATAACCACATCAGTTCAGTATCGCTAGCAGACCCATCCCACAGAGACAGATGGATCTGACGACACACTTTGCACGTCAGACTGAGCCACAGACAGACAGACAGGCAGACAGCCGGCCACTCTTCCACCCGCCATCTCCCCTTAACCATTCTTCTCCCTCCCCTGTCTGTGCATTGATTTGTGTCTGCAGAAGAGCTCCCCGGTCTGTTCTCCAGCCATCCGGCCAGAGAGCGCCGGTGCCGGTGCTGGCACCGGCCTCTCGGTGTTCGACGAGCACCACCCCCATCCCCCCTCCATGAACCTCACCCTCCGCCGACCAGCCGGCACGCGCAAAGACAGAGACGCCGCCAACAAGAACCGATCCACGCACAACCAGCCGGGCGGCGGCACCAACGTCTCATGGCAGGTCCGCAAACCCTCCGGCATCAGCCCGGGCGGCGCACTGGTGTCGGCTAGCATGCCGCTCATCACTCCCAAGGGCGCCATCAACGTGACAGCAATGGGCGGCCAGAGGGAGCGTGCTGAGCGAGAGAGGAACAGGGGCAGCGGCGGCCACACGCCGCCGTCAGTCAAGGATGGGGAGAGCCCCGGCTCCGGCTCGGCCAGGCGGGCGGCCACGCCCACGCAGCCTCACGAGGCGAGACAGCGCAACAAGGACAAGGACAAGGAGAGGGAGAGGGAGGCCGACGTCGTCATGACAGATGTGACCAGCCTGGCCAAGTCCGCCCCAGACGAGCAGATGCACCCCAACCCGTCGTCAGCCGAGGAGCAGTCGCCATCGCCACCGGCGTCTGTGTCTGCCGGCGCCCCGCCGGGCATGACCCTGCCCGCATCCACGGCCACATCGGCGGCAGACACTGGCAGCAGACCGACGGTGCCCATCCGGTTTGGGGATTTCGACGCGTCGACGTTCGGGAAGAAGGACGACAAGGGTGGCGACCCGAGCATGGGTGGGTGTGCTTCTCAACCCAACCTCCGTGTGGTGGAGATGCCCGACATACCAAACCTGCCCGTGACCAGTGGGGACCTCGGCGCAGGGGCAATCACTATGATCGAACAAGAGGTGAGTGAGTGAGTGAGTAATATACACACGGGGATGGGAGGGATGCTTAGATGCATATGAGTGGGTGGGACAGACACAGGGAGGGAGCTCCATCTTTGGGTGGTCATTGTCGGTTGCAGCTTGATTTGGAGCCGGTGCCAAGCCCACTCCAAGCTCCCGAGGTGCCGACCAGCAGTGCCGCTCCGGTGTCGGTGCCGGTGCCTTCCCCCCTCCCCCCCGCGCCCCCATCTCCCTCCCACCACACGGCAGCAGCACCCCTGCCGTCGGAGACCCACCCCCCTCCTCCCGGCCCACCCCCACAGCCCGAGTCTTCCTTCAGACCCCCATCAGTGATCGCACCTGCCCATCACTCCCACGCCCACACCCACACCCATCCCCATCCCCAGCCGCACCTCCCGCATCCACACCCGCAGATCCTCTCTGTGCCCTCTCATCGCACAACCAGCGACCATTACGGCGGCCACGGCTCGTCGTCGTCGCTGATGGACGGCATTCAGGTGATACCCCCGCCCACACACGCTGCAAGGGGGCCGATCGGTGGTTTGTCCGCGGCTGCCGGTGGGGCGGGTGGGGTGGATCTCAACGGACAGAGGGATAGAGATGGAGGGAGGTATCGGGGCGGCGAATACCACCAGCACCAGCACCAGCACCACCACCACCAACAGCAGCAGCAGCATGCGCCTGCTGTTGCTTCAGCTCGTCACAAGCCGCTGTACTCGAGGCTGGGCATCAAACTCATTGACGACGATGAGGAAGAGGTCAGCAAGGGAGAGAGGGGAACGAACATACAGTGACGTGTTGCTGCATAAGTGGATATTGTTGTGATGGTCAGGAGTCGTCCAACGCATTCCCAGATCCCTACGATAGCACAGACCATCGCAACGATCAGCCCAACCACCACCCCCACAGGTCCCCAGCAGGAGCCCCCTCCCCTCTCTCAGTCATCCCACCCACGCCAGGCGTCAACGTGGGCCCATTCGAGCCCATCAAGCCACAGCACAACAGCAGCGCCAGCAACAGCAGCAGCGGCTGGATGGGCGGCGACTCCTACAACCACACCGACCTCACCAACGACATGGCGCGGCTCACCACCGGCAGCCCCAGCAGCAGTAATCAGAACAGCAAGGGCAAGGGCGTGCCGATCAGCCTCAACGAGCGGCTGCAGTTCGACGACAACGACAAGGGAGGGATGATGCATCCGCATCAGCACCAGCAGGATGACACCAGCACCCCCTCGTCCACGGCGCGGCGTGACAGCGGTGAGGGCCGCCCGGCTGTGATCAACCCTCAGTCGCTGCCCAACAACCCCTGGTACAACCCACAGAGCTTCCCCGACGACCACGGCGCCGCCAGTGGGTCGTTCCCCCCTCTCAATGCTTCCTCATCCTCCAACAAGCAGCAACAACAGCCGCATGAGGAAGGCAAGCCGGGCCCCTCCAGCCCTATGCACCGTGGCGCGCCCCCCGGGATGACGCCCTCCCCTTCGCCGCCCAGCGTCAGCTTGTCGAGTGAGGGCGGCAAGGGCCCCGACTCAGACGCGTCTATCATGGATGCGCTTGCCAAGGTGTGTCCCCAGGTGTCGCTGTTCGCCAAGAACAAGCCGCAGATGCAGCATGGGCCAGCGGGGAGCGATTCAATGGCGGGGGCGGGGGGCCCCGAGCCGCAGCCGCCAGGTGGTGGTGGTGGTGGGTTTGGGATGGGCAGCCGGCCGTCTGCTTTCAACCCTTCTGCGCCGCCATTTGTATACGGCCGGTCGTCCCCCTCCCCCAATACAAATCCACACGTGCCGTCGATCATCCGGCCGTACAATGACGACCAGAGCCACAAGCAGCCCGACTGGATGAAGCATGACCATCACCAGCAGCAGCGGCGCGACCACCACCACCAGCAGCAGCAGCAGAGGATGCCTCCCCGCGGGCAGCCGCAGCCGCCCCCGCCCCCTCCTACACATATTCCGCCAGTGCCCACAGTGCCCCCACCTCGCCCGGATCAGCTGATGAATCAGCGGCAGATGCGCATGATGCACGGGTATGACGGCGGGTACGGGGGAGGTGACCCCCAGGGTGGGGGCATGTTTTCCGGTGGCGGTGGTGGGTACGGCGGCATGTACGGCCAGATGGGGGGGCCATCAGCTGGGCTGAACCCTGCTGCATATCCTTTCGACCCACAGGCGGCCATGTGGCAGCCTGGACAGAGACAGTGACTCAGGGAGGGAGGGAGGGAGGGATGACAGCCACGGAGAAGGGGAAAGGGGATGCCTGCGTGAGTGAGTGGGTGGGCGGGCGGATGGACACTTGGTAGCTTACGATCGTTAATTCAGTGTATGTGTCTGCCTGTGTGAGATTGGATAAGACAGAGGGGCGGGCGAGACGAGGCTCGGCGGCGTCGGGGCCGGGCCGAGCCAAACAAACCAACACGGGGTGGGAGGCCCGCCTGTCTGTCTGAGGGCGGGTGGGGTGGGGTGGGGTGGTATTTGTGTGGTGGATGGTTTGCCTCAAGTGCCTGACACAGACAGACAGACAGACAGACTCGCTTTTGATGTGCGTGTGTGTGAGAGAGAGAGAGATGGAGACCAGGGTGCGGCCGATGCATGCACGGATGGATGGATGTGTTTTCCCTCCCTCCCTCCCTCCCTGTCTTCCCTGTTCCCTCCCTTCCCCCTTCTCCCCTGCTTGCCATACCGCCCCTCTTCCAATCAATCCATCATGCACTGTAATGTCCGCCCCGCCCGCAACGCACCCGTGGTTGATGGATGTTTTCGTGAGAGAGACAGCGTGTGAGAGTGGTGCATACCTACCTTACGTTTGCATACCATACCGTCCTTGCCTGTGCGCCATACCATACACCATGTGCGAGAGGGGGACAGAGAGACGGACGACTGACTGACTGATTGACGTTTTTGACATGCATGCCCCCATGAGTGCTTTCTGCAGTGGCTGGCTGTCGGGCTGGTTGGCAGAATGAACGAGGCGACGGCCTGTCAAACCAGTGGATGCCGGGTCAGAGGAGATGGATTGAAGAGAAGACGCGTTTTCTTTGTCTGTCTCCCTTTCTCCCAGATATGTCCACACACCGGCCGGCCGGCCGATTGATTGAGTGTTTCCTGACGCCCATCCATCCATCCACGGGGGCAGGGAGAGAGTGAGAGTGAAAGTGAGAGGGTGGATGAGAACATGATGTGTACTGCTGTGACTGAGCGGCATCGGCTCTGGGGAATCGCACGGGGAACTCAGATGAGATGAGATGGCACTTGTGCTTGCATGAGTACATGATTACATCCATCCACACGTGGTTGTTTTCCTCTTTTGTCTTCATGATGATCGATCCACCGATTGATTGATTGACTGACTGACTGATGGCCAGGCATCAGACACAGACAGACAGACAGACAGGCAGCCATATGAGCTGCCCGTAAGTAAATGCATCTGTACTGACTACAGCCAGACCATGCCCCGCCCCTCCCCCTTCCCCAACCCCTCCCGTAGTCAATGGGGCATGGCACACACAACGCACACACGACGGACGCATGGATGACCACACGCACACGATGGCCGGACAGACACACACACATACATACGCACATCGATCGCATCACCCCTACACACAATTGAAGTGCATTGCATGGTGGGTGGATGAATGTGTTTAACAGACCAGAAGAAAGGGCGGAAGGGGCGAGGGAGGGAGGGAGAGCGAGCCACTTTCTATATCTCATTGAGTGTTTTCACCTGTGATGTGTTGTGCGTGTGGTGTGATGGGGCCCGGCTGGCTTGCGGTGAGGGTCCCATTTTTGAGTTGGTGCCTGACTGCATGCATGAATCTGGAATGGTCGTGCCCTGCATGCGCTGTGCTTCTATGGGAGGAGTGGGAATGTGGAAGGGTGCTTCTCAAAACCCTACAACCCCCAACCCTACACTGCAAGTCTTGAGCTCGATGGGCCAAGGAGAGCGTGCATCGTTCGTTTTGATTGTGCGCGAACTTGGCCGTCAGGCCGCCTAGGACATTCCGTGAAACTGCTCGCTCGCCGAGGAAGAAATCCGCGAGAAGCGAAGGATAGAGATCTGCGAATACCGATGGCAGAAGAGTCCAGCAAGATGGCGCTGACAGACGAAACACAGACCACAAAGGGCAAACTGGTGCGCTCACACGAATGAGGAATCGCCCTGCTAGAGACAGTCCATCTTCCGGTGGCTGCGTGGATCTGTGTGTTTCAGGGCGTCCTTGCCTTCTGGAGATGGCCACTCCACTGGCAGGTCCGCGCGAGAGAGATACACACACCACTTCACGCCCTGCAGATGGCAGAGATCGCTCTGTGTGTACTGTGTGTGTGCGTATGGTGTGTGCAGGCGCTGGGCGGCATCGTGATGGGTTTGGTGTTGGGCTATTTGTCTGGCGGCGTGGGTTATGCCACATTCAAATCCACCAGATGGGACATGATCATCTACGACCTCATCGGGTGCGCAGAGACAGACAGATGCAATGCAGCCACGGGCATGACCATACCATCTCTCTCTATGGTGTGTGTGTGTGTGCAGAGATATGTTCCTGCAGGGTCTGAAGATGGTAGTGGTGCCTCTGGTGCTGACAGCCATCGTCAACGCCACTGCTGGTATGGGTGACAGGGCCGGATTCGGTAGACTGGGGGGCAAGACCGTCCTCTTCTACCTCGTCACGTCACTCTGCTCCACTCTCATCGGCCTCGCCTTTGTCAACATCATCAAACCGGGTAAGGAAGCTCGCTGTGTACGGCCAGGCCACCCACACGCCTCAGTGTGTGAATGGGTGACCTGTCTGTCTGTGTTGTGTGCAGGCGAGGGCTCGGTGGGCACGACGGTCGACGAGACGCTCAAGTCCGTCGAGAATGAGGGCTCTGACGAGCAGGGCAACCTGCAGAAGATCGAGGAGCGCTCGGAGGGAAGGGGCGGGATCGAGTCGATCCTGACGGTCTTTCGAAACATGGTGCCCCCCAACATCTTCGCGGCGTTTGCCGAGGACCAGATGCTGGGCGTGATTGTGTTCGCCCTTCTGTTCAGCTATTACATGGCCCGCCTGCAGGGGGAGCAGAGACGGATCATGACGGTCATCTGGGAAGGTGCGCCGGCACGTGGGAGGGACGGGCAAGGCAGGGCAGGGGAGGATGTGTGTGTTTGGGTGTGTGTATGTGTGTGTTCAGGCGCGTACAACGTTATGCTGGGCATAGTTTTCTTCGTGCTGAATTTCCTGCCTTTGGGCGTCATGTGTCTGATCGCACAGAGCTTCGCCGACGCATTTGCGCAGGACAAGTAACCAACAATGGCCACACACACACACACACACACACACAGGTGCGCATGCATCACCCTCCCCTCCATCCCTCCACACTTGTGTGTGTGTGTGTCAGCTTTGTGGAGCGCATGACGCAGCTGGGCCTGTTTGCCGTGACGTCTGTGTGTGCGCTGGCCACACACATCTTCATCCTCATGCCGCTCTTCCTGTTTGCTCTCGGACGCGTCAACCCTATCAGGTCACACACACAAAGCCACCCACACCGTCCATCCCACCCTACCTCGACGGTTCCATCTCATCTTTGCCCACACCACATGCTGTATGTAACACAACCCAGGCACTTCAACGCCGTGATGCCTGCGTTGCTGACGGCCTTCTCGACTGCGAGCAGCAGCGCCACCCTGCCCCTCACCATGAGCTGTGTGGAGCAGCGGGCTGGAGTCAGCAAGAGGATGGCCAACTTCGTCCTGCCTTTGGGTGCAACTGTTAACATGGACGGCAGTGCCCTCTATGAATGTGTCGTGGTGAGTGCAATTTAGTGTACAGATCACAGTTCTTGTGAGCGCTCGAGATGTTTGTTTGTGATGGTATGGCTGGGTGCGTCAGGTGATCTTCTTGGCTCAGTTCAGCGGTATTGAGCTCACCTTCACCAATCAGCTGATAGTGGTGATACTGGCCCTCCTGACGTCCATCGGCGTGGCGGGCATCCCGTCTGCGTCGCTGGTGGCCATTGTGGTCATCCTCAACGCTGTCAATGCCAACCTCCCCGGGGTGAGCAAGCCAAGTTCAGAGAGGGCACAACACAATCCGATTGACACACACGACAACACCGCGCAGCGCAGGACACACTTGTCAATTATGCGCTTTGTGTGTATGTGTCGTCGCTTTGCCTGTGTCGCAGGGCCAGACGATTCCCCTGGAGACCCTTGCCGTCATCCTCATCATCGACCGACCACTGGTGAGCTCCTGAGCCTTCGCACCACGTCGCTCCTTCCACGATCCCACCTCTCTCTCTCTCTCTCTCTGTGTGTGTGTGTGTGTCCATTAAAGGACATGTGCCGGACGGCTGTCAACGTCATGGGCGACACGGTGGGCACCATCCTCATCGCCCGGTCCGAGGGCGAGAAGCCGCTCACCAAGCACCCCGACGAGATGCAGAAGCTCTTCATGGAGAACTTCGCCATGCACGAGATGGAGCACGGAGCGGGCAAGGGTGGCGGGGAGGGTGGTGCCGACCAGCAGGGGCCGTCGTCTCAGGTGCAGACCAAGGAGAGCTCGGAGGTGCAGTCGACAGAGGAGGAGAACAACACCAACGGTGACAGCGGCGAAGACGCCAAGGCACTCGCCGTGTGCTAGATGGTTCGATGGATGGATGGATGGGGCGTGTGTGCATTGTATCTATCCATCTTGTCTGGCTGGGGTGTCTGTCTGTCTGTCTGTCTGTCGTGGAGTAAGTCGCTTACCAGTCAATGTTCGTCCGCTCGTACAATGTATTCATGTATATGTCGGGAGAGCGAGGGCGAGGGAGAGAGAAGCGAGGCGAGGATGTCGAATGAAGTTTTGCACGGACGCGCCCGGTGCATCCGTCTGTGTGGCGGTCGTACACCTCCTGTTGGTAACGGATGGCGAGCAGTGTTTCCCCACGCTGCTCACCACCGGTTGCCAGCGGGGGAGTGACGAACTCAACACGACGGACACGGGGCGCAGCCCAGCACACGTCTGTGGCTCGTAAGATTGAGAGAGAAGGAGAAGAATGTTTTGCCTGCTTGCCTACAGTCAGTGAGTGTACATTGCCTGTAACAAACATCATTCGGGGGTGGGCCTGCACCGCGTCGTGTCGTGTCTTGTCTTGTCCTGATATGCCGTCTTTTATATACATGTGAGTCTGTCAGGTCGGTCATGTCATGTCATGTGTGTGTGTCCGTCTGTCTGTCTGTCTGTCTGGTGTGCGTACGGGAATATCCACACATACATATACACACATCGATCGATGCATATACACGTACTGACTGCATGGCATGAATGCATTGTATGTGGGTGCGCTATGTGCATTGCCGAGTGGCTGGCTGACGAGTGGCTGACGGTAGTCACCCTCACCACATCGTCAGACAGCCACATAAGCGGCAACGGAGACGTTCCATGGATGGATGGATGGATGGGTGCGTGCATACCAACCCGGGCTGACCCACTCACTCAGTGCATTGCATTGCATTGCATTGCATGGCCATTCATTCGTTTCTCACGTGGCTGCATGTCATGTGTGAGCATGTGATGTGATGTGTATGTGTGCTTGTACGTGTGCCCACATGTATGTATGTATTTATCTATCGCCTTTATGGGGGACAGCTGTCTGTCCTGTCGGCGCTCTCTCGTCGACACGTGACCTGACGTGGGTGTGGTGTGCAGAAGGACGGAAGTGGTTGGGGTGGGATGGGCTGAGTGAGTGCCTCTCTCTCGACTTGATTCACTGCTGGGCCTGCTGGCCGCCTGGGTGCACTTTTCGAAACGCAGGCAGGCAGGCAGGCAGGCAGGCAGACACAAGAGATGACGACTCTCTCACCCACTCACCCACTCAACTCACCGACGTTCAGCTGGCCGACAGGACTCCGCTACTTTTTGTCCTTCCATGGGTGCCTCTGCCGTGCCGTGGATGGATGCAAGTGCATGTCCGTGTGTGTGGGCATGCGTATGTATGTGTGTGAGAATGGTGGGTTTGTATGGGTTTCATGCAGTGACATACCATTGCAATGCAGTGTGGTGGATACGACCGACCGACTTGTCATCTCCCCTGAACAGAACACGATCGCAATGGATGAATGAATGAGAAAGCCTTCTCGCCGTCAGCAGGGTTTCGGGTTTTAGGGTTTCGGGGAATTGTAGCTCGCATTCCGAACTCGTCGTGTTTTTGCTCAGGCGTCGCGTGTAGACTGTGCACGGTTTGATCAGTGATCTAGCATCGCTCAATTGCTGGATACGCTTCTTCGCCGAGACATCGATCCCTAACGTACGTCGGAGGGAGGCAGATGTTGCCGTGACGTGAGGCGCTGAGCTGACGATGGAGCAGCCCAAGACAGCCATGAACCTGTCGGATCTCCTCACTCCCATATTCGACGACTTCGGTGAGGGAGGGACGGAGGGAGGGTGGGAGGGAGCCACACGCGACAGGACAAACAAGCACTCGTCAGGAGATATGGCTGTTTGGTATGGTGACGTGTGTGCGTGTGTGTGACAGAGCTGACGGAGGAGGAAAGATCGGAGATACAAGCCGGCCTGAGGAAGCTGTTCGTCAGGAACGTCGCATCGCTAGCCAAGGCTCACCCTGAGGACCTCACTGCCCACGGCCTGCCCATCGTGGTGGTCCGCGAGATGTGCAACCGAGCCAAGGACGCACTGGGCACCAGCTCACCCACTGCCGAGTCGACGCCTCGCGCAGGCGGGTCGACTCCCCCCGCCCAGTCCATCGCTTCCAGCAGTCAGCCCAGCGAGGCAGTGCCGAGCTTCATGTCTCAGCACGGAGCTGATGACAAGGAGCTGGGGAGGGGCGGCGGCGGTAAGGGGAGGGCGGGGTGGCCCGACCACGAGGACTACGGCCTGGAGGAACTCGCTGAAGCAAGTGAGACTCCGAGAGAGAGGGCGCACTCTATCTGTCTGTGTCTGTATGATTGCCCCTGTCTGTCTGTCTGTCTGTCTGTGTCGACACAGCTGCGGCTCGTGTGCTGGACACCGGGGAGTGTTCAAACAAGGCCGCCCACCACCTGAGTACGTCGACCAACCACTCCACCACCGTCCCCCCGTCGCCCCACCAGGTCTCCATGTCCCACCGGACGGCCACCATCATGCGGCCCAGAGTCAGCCTCCCCATGACCACACCGGGTGGCGGGGGGGACGTCTCGCCCCTCCGCAGACAGTCATTCCACTCGCCCTCGTCCAACATCGAACTGGGCTCCAACTTGCTCGAGGCCGACCGCGGCGCGCCCACCGCCCCTCTGTCGGCACCCGTGCTCTCCGAGCCGTCGACGACTCACTCGACGTCGTATCTGCAGCCGCCCTCCCCGCCCGGCACGTCAAACACGGCCGTCACGACCACATCGTCATCGTTCCCCCTGATGCACGGTGGTGAGGCCAGCAGCTCTTCTGACGGCATGGTGGGCACGCCGGCCGTGGAGCCAGAGCACGACACCAACAGCATGGTGTCCCAATCGTACGGTGCCTTCCGGGGTGGCGGGCTGGGGCTGGGAGGGGGTCTGGGTGTGGTGGGGAAGCCGCACGGCACCCTCAGCTCGTCCAGCACCAGCACTGGCGGCGGGCTGTCGTGGGGCGCGGTGCCGCCGCCATCTGGCGCAGACGAGGACCACACACTGGCCCGGCTGCGCAACATGATGGCCTGGAGCAGCTCGTCCGTGACCAACGAGGGAGGGCAGCAGCAGGACACCACCGCCACCGCCACAGCCACGCCCACGACCAACCCCCCGGCATCTACCATGTTCAGCCCCACCGTCGGGCCCGGCACTGCGACATGCTGCACCGACCCTCACAGCCACGGCCAGATGCAGTCACTCACCTTGCCTGCTGTGAGCGACACCACCGGTGGTGACCAGCCCAACTACCCTCGGCCGGGCTCTGCCTTCAAGTCGTGGGACGACCTGTCTCTCTTCCAGAGCCAGGGCACCGGCGCGTCGGCCGCCATGGCTCAGCCGCAGGAGCAGGGCGGCAATGGGGGCAATGGGGAAGGGGGTGAAGGCGGGTCGCTGTCGGCTCTCGCTGGGCTGCTAGGCAACCTCGACCGTGACCAGCTCGCCAGGCTTCACGAACTCAAGAACCAGCTCTCACAGCAACCCCACCAGCAGCAGCCGGATACCACCACGAGAAGCAACGCCGGCAGCGAGAGCGAGGAGCAGCGTGGCGGCCCCGCCAGCACTGGCCCTCCGCCGCCCCCGCCGCCCCAGCAGCAGCAGCAGCAGCAGCAGACAGGCGAGGGCGGCCAGACCCAGAGCATGACGGCGGCCAACCTCATTGGCGCACTCGCCACTCTGGCCAAGACCAACCCCAACTTGCAGAGCCTGCTGACGGGTCTGCAGACACAGCAGGCCGCCGGGCCACCAGCGCCCCCAGCAGAAACCAGCCAGACCATCCAGCAGGGCGGGGTCTCGCTGACAATCACGCGCAGCAACGACCAACAGCAGCAGCAGCAGCAGCAGGCACAGCAGCCGCAACCGAGTGGTGTGAGCGCTCTGCAGCAGCAGGGGAGTTCGAGTAGCCTGAATGCGAGTGCGCCTAGCTATGCGCCCCAGCCGCTGCCGAGTGCGTATGCGGGTGGTCTGGTACCGCAGCCGCAGCAGGCCATGCAGCAGCAGCAGCCCAACGACGACAAAGTCATCATCACCTCACCTGACGAGGGTACGGGTCGTGTACCTACCTGACCTACCTGTGGGGACGTCAGTCACGGCACACAAGAGGAGACGTCAATGCAATGCATATGCCGTCTTGTTTGTGTCTTCTTGTCTTCTTGCGATCAGTTCGTTGGCACCCCCCCTTGGCGTGGGTGCATCCGGTGATCCGCTGGCTCAGACGACACAACCTCTGCAGCTGGGTGCAGGTGCGGACGGAGAGACACTCACAGCTGGCCATGCAGTGCAGGCATTACTAGTCACACCACCTCACTGATTCCTGTGTGTGCCTTGTCTGTCTGTTCGGTGTGTGTTCAGCCCCTTGCCCCGTCCGGGCGCCCTCTCGGGCAGAACTTCCTGTTGCAGGTCATACGCGCCGTCGAGCACCCAACATACTCGAGGGGATTCCAAGTCGTCGCCAGGAGGCTGCCGGGCAAACAGAAACAGGTCAGGCGAACCGCACTATACACCTGCCAACACTGATGGGATCAGTAGAGCGACCAACCTGTGTGTGTGTGTGTGTGGGTGTCTGGTGCAGACGTTGTTGGTGTACACTACGTTAAGTCGCGAGGCGCTGGAGGTCATATGCAATGCCCTGCAGGAAGAGATATCCGATGCGGCAAAGTGAGCCACCAAACACCATTCCAACACCATTCTCGCGTCTCATCATGTCTTTCTGCTTGTGGTGGTGTCATGTCAGGGCTGGTTTGATTCCCGAGGGGTGGGGCAAGGCCGGTCAGAACGAGCCGCCCCCCGGTCTGGAGGACCTTCCGGGCACCTCTCACGGCGGACAGGGCCACGGCTCGTGGTGGGTGGACTCGCTATACAACGTCCTCGAGAGACGCCTGTCAGTCTGCCGCGTCAACAACAACGGCGAGGCCCAGCCGACCGCCTCCCACTATGCCCCTCAGGGCCCCCAGCCAATGCCCCGCCAGCCCGTCCCCTCCCCTCCCACAAACTACGCTCACATGCATCAGCAGCAGCAGCAGCAGCAGCCGCCCCCCTACCAGGCCGCCCAGCCGGCTCCCCCTCCCGGGCCCTACCCCAATCCCTACGCCGCCAACGCCATGCACCCGACCACCATGACGAGCCAAAACGGCAATGTGTCGATCAACCTGGACCTGGTGGCTGCTCTCGGCGGCCTGAGCAACATCACGGGCGCCGGCGTGGGCAGCTACCTGTCCCCCGGGATGGCGTCGCGCGCCGCGGCGGCCATGGCGCGAAAGGACCAGGACAACAACCCGGAGATCCCTTTGTGCCAGCGGTACCAGCGGGGCGTGTGTCGGTCCAAGGTGTGCAAGTACCGACACAGGTGCGGCAGCTGCTCTGGCGCACACCCGCAGAAGAACTGCCCCCGCAACCCGGCCCCGCTGTCGGCCCAGGCCGGCTACCCCTCGCCGTCGATGCAGTCGTCCGGCACGCAGCCCGACACGCCGAGCGAGGGGTCGTCGCCCACCAACTCGGCCTCGCACATTCCGTCGATCCAGGGCATGATGGGCCAGTCCCCCATGGCACCGCTGCTCGCCAGCCACCCGCTGCCGCCACCCATGGCCGGTGGTCTCCCGCAGGCACACCAGCAGCAGTACCTCCAGGGCCTCGTTGAGAGTGTGGGCCTGCCCCCGCCCCCGCAGCCATTCCAGCAGCAGCCACAGCACCAGCATCCACAGGCGTACCAGCAGCTACAGCTGCAGCAACAGCAACAGCAGCAGCCCCCTGCGTACCAGTCCCAGCAGCAGCAGCAGCCACAGCCCCAGCCCTACCAGCCACCGGCACAGCCGTACCCCACTCTGCAGGGGCAGCAGCCGCCTCCTTTCGGCTTGTGAGCTGAGAGTGAGTGTTGGCACGTGGGGCGGGCGGGCGGGATGAAGGGTGGGAAGTGTCTCAGCGGCGGTGTGCGTGAGCCAGTCATGGATCGGTCGGGTCGGTGGGTCGGGCGGTCGGTAAATGGTACGGGGACAGTACACGTGCGTGTGTGAAAGTGAGTGAGTTGGGCCGTGTTCCCCTCTCTTCTTTTCTGCCTGGCTGCGTGTGGCTGGCTGGTCGGCTGGTCGGCTGGTTGGTTGGTCCGCCCACCTAAGTATGCATGCCTTCATTCGTGCGTGGTCTGCCTGCCTGCCTGCCTGCCTTTGTCAACTTCCTCCGCTGTCTATCCGTCCGTCCGTCCGTCTACGTTCGTCTTTTCGGGTGTTTTCCATCATTCTTATCATCATTATTATTGTCACTCACTGTCGAGTCAAGCAACCAATCGTTCTGTTGGCCCGCAGCGCAGCCAGCAGCAGTGTTCTTATTACATGCATGTAGACAAGCCGACAGCGAGCGGGCGGGCGAGCCCCACTACTCTGCGTGCGTATGTCTTCCTCCCTATCACCTACGTGGCTTTGCAAGGGAGGTGGGGAGGGGCGGGGCGGAGGGTTATGTGTGTCGTGTGTGGGTGGCAATGGTATCTATGACTCATCTTTTCACGATGGATGGATGGATGGATGACCCGAACCAAAGCGAAGCGAACCCCATTTGTTTATCTGTACGTGTATCAGCAGAGGACGCGACTCTTTTCTTTTGTTTCTGAAGCTCGTCGGTTGGTCGTTGTTCAGTCATGTGAAGCGCCGCCTCTTGTAGCGGACACAGACAGACAGACCGACCAACAAGCCGACCGACTAACTGGTTTCCTCCATCCATCCATCCATCGGCAGACCACACACACACACAGTGATGTGATGCGCCCGCCCTTCCACCGCACTTTTCTGGTGTGTGTTTGCATGCGCTGCGTTGCGTACATGCCCGTAGTTGCGTATTGTACCCCGCTGCGCTGCGTAGCGACCTGACCGACCGACCGACCGACCCGACCACACACCCACAGACTCGCTGACTCACTCACCGGCCCGCCCAGCCCAGCCCAGCCCAGCCCGCACACAGTGGCTGCAAGGAGGGGTAGGGGAGAAGACAGAGGGGGGAGATGGAAAGGGCCGCCTTTGCTCACTACTTGATGACTCGCTTGGTGGCTGGCTACCTGGCTGGCTGGCTGGCTGGCTGGCTGACTGTCTGCATGATTGAGTGGAGGGGTAGGGGAGAAAGGGGAAACAGGGAGGGGAGGGGGGATGACCGGCTCTTTGGCTGGCTAGGTGGCTGTTTGGATGCTCTCCTGTCTGTCTGTCTGTGCATCCATCCATTCATCTATGGTATGCTTGCTCGTGGAAGAAAGTTTGGGCGGCGCTGTGCCCATCCATCGAGCGACGTAGCGTAGACCTCTCTCGATCGGCCCATCCATCCCATATCGACCATCACATATCATTGTTATCGTCTGTTTCGTCTTGTTCGTCTGCCGAGAGAATTCATGTCTCCTCTGGCTGACCGGCTGCCTTTGGCTCTGCACTCACTCTGCTGCCTGCCTGCCTGCCTGCCTCAGCGTGGCTGCCTCGGGACCCTGCCATCATGTCATCTCTATGGCTGTCAGCACGGCCATCGGGGTGGGTGGCGCGTGGCCGACATGACTCACTCTCTCTCTGCCTGCCTGGGGGATGTGCGTATGCTTGCTGCAATGCTGCATGTGAAGGAGGGGGGCTCACGTGGGGGAGGCGGCCAACCGTCCAGCAACTGTCTTGTCTATCTTTTTGGTCGGCGCTTTTCTTGAAAGAAACCGCCTGGCTGCTGGGCTGGGGGACCGGCCGCTCCGCTCGGGGGGAGGGGAGTCGGGCTGGTTGGGATGGATGGGATGGATGGAGTGATGAAAGCTGTTGGAGGAAATCTCTTGCTGCTGACAGCCAGCCATATCTGCAGCTATGTACCCATTGCCGCGGTCACCGCTTTCGTCACGCCGCCACTGCTTTCTTGTTTTGCCCTTCCTTCTCCCACATCACGTCCAATTGCTCTCTCGGTCTGTGTGGAAAACTGCGGCTTCTGCACCAATCCTTTCGTCGTTTCACTCACTATAAGGCAGTGGGGCACTCTGGGACAGGGCTGGGGCTGGGGGGGAACTCTATCTCGTGCTCTGGGGACGCTTTTGAATGAATGGATGCTCTTAATTCGGCTCTACGGCTCTCTGGCGGCTGGCGGGAGGGAGAGAGGGAGTAGCCTTTGCTCCCCCTCTGCTGGCCGTCCTAAGTGATTTTCATGGGGCGCTCTCTCTCTCTCTCTCTCTCTGTGTGTGTGTGTGTGTGTGTCTTATGTGGATGTACCTCTCTCACACCCCTCTCGCATCTCGCTGCCTTTCGTATGTATCTCTCTGTCTTTCGTTTCTATTTCAATTCGTGTAGCTCAGCTCACTCAGCAGTGCTCTCCTCTCTCTCTCTCTCTCTCGTGTGTGTGCATATGGTTATGGTTCGGCTGTTGGCTCTCGCAATCTGCCTCAATTCGACTCATTCATCGCATGGATATGTCTTGACACATCCATCCATCCATTGATCCATCCATCCATTCTCATGCGATCGCTCTGTCTGCATGTCTGTCCGTCTGTCCGTCTCTTCTGCTCGAAGTGTTTGCTCTTCGTTGATGATGTCCCGCGCTAATTGACCTTTTCTTTCTCAACACACGCTGTCTTACCGGGTGCGCAGCTCTCTCTCTTTCTCCCTCTCTAGGTAGGAGTCAATATCGTGTCCCCCACGTCGCCGAACTGTTTCTTTGGCGAATCTACATACTCAGTCACCACACACACACTCACACACACGGAGGGAGGGAGCGGGTGCATTGGGGCGGGTGGGGGGATGGTTTGTCATGGATGCGTGCGTGGGAGCATGGGTGTCGTCGAGTCCGACAGTCAGCCAGTCATCATTTCCTCCTCCCCTGACTACATTGCTGCTACGGTAAGTACGATTGTGTTGTGTTTGTTCTACATTCACCCCTTGATTCGCCATCGATCCATCCATCCATCCATCCATCTCATTCTCCTTATCATGAATCGGGAAGAAACTGTCCCCTTCATCATTGAGTGGTTGATTGAGTGATCGGTATGTTGTCTGTCTGTCTGTCATGACGTCCGTATGCATCGCGGGCAGCCCCGCACCGCCCCATCGGGCGGGCGGCCGGGTGCACAAGCAAATACACTCACTACTACACTATCTATTATCCTCCTTCCTCCTCTGCGTTGGTCATCCATGGCTGATCTGACATTTCGTTTGCGCGTGTGTGATGATGAAATTGTGAACGAATGGATACACACAAGCAAGGGAGGAAGGAAGGGAGAGACAAGACAGATGGAAGCACGCACAACAAAAGGGAGGGCCTAGGCTGGTGCGTGGGGTGGTGGTGGGGTGGGTGGTGCATGTGTGTGTCATCCGGACGGCCCGACCGTTTTTGTCACTTATTCCTTACCCTACCCCTCCTTTCCCGATAATTCCCCTACTCAGCCGACTGCCCGCTCGCGTGCGCCACTACCAGATAGCAAAACACCGAATGGGGGAGGGAGGGAGGGAGGGAGAGAAGCCTGACTACTCTGTTGTGTGTGTGTGTGTGTGTGTGTTGGAATGATTGATTGTTTGTTTGCATCGCTCGTTTCCCAGAAATGGGACTAACGAGAAGTATTTCGTCATTCATCGACTCATGCATGCCTGCATCGCTGCCTGCCTTGCCTTGCCTCGCCTCATCGTGTGTGCGTATCGATCGATTGACCCTTCCTCAATCAGTCAGTCATTGTTGTACTCGACTACTCTGTTGGTTGCCCTGGTATTCCCTTGCCCTGCCCGCCTACCTAGCCCGCCTGAGGTGGGGCTGGGTGGGGTAGAGCAGGCAGGAGCCAGCCAGGCATCGCTCGCTCCGGCCAAATCATGAATCATGTCATCTTTTGTCGTCCGTAGCGATCCATTCAGTCAGTCAGTCATCGATTCCATCAATGGCGCGGCCCTCTTTTAATGCAAACTAGCCTAGCCAGTACCTACCGTAATACCGGCCGCCCTTGTACGTTTCTTGTCTTGCGTACGTCCATCCGTGTGTCCGTCTGTCTGTCTGTCTGTGTGTCTTTGTGTGGCTCCTCCCCTGCCTACTCGCCTGTCTTTCGATGGCTGCTCGCGCGGCGGCGGCGGCGGTGTGAGTGCGCAGTGTGAAGTGGGTTGACACTGTCATTTATTGATGAAGGAAGCCAACGGCTGAATGATTGGATGATTGGGTGACTGAAGAGGAGGACATGGTCAATGGATGGATGGATGAATGAATTTGTGGGCGGCGCGGCCGACGGCATGGCATGGTCAAGGGGTAGGGTATGGGCCAAGGACGGGTATGTCTCTGATGACGATTATCTGTCCTAAGTGTTTTGCACCGCTGCAGTGGGCCGGCCAGCCGGCCGGCCGGTCAGTCAGTCAGTCATGCCCGTCCCTCATTGCTTCCTTCCTTGCCTCGATCGCCGCGCATACTTCCTACTGGCAGTCAGTGTATTCATTCATGTTGGTTGATGTGCATTCCTCTAGCCTAGCTGTTTGTTGTATGCGTGTGTGTATGTCGAGAGCCATCTCTCCAGCCGAAACAGAGCTTGCCTGCCCGTTTGTCTGTCCGTCCGTCCGTCCGTCCGTCTGTCTCTCTGTCTGTCTGTCTGTCTGTCTGTGTCGACTGGCCGTAACTACCCAGCCCACCAGCTATCTAGATTATATGCTCCATCATTGCATCCATGTCGGCCCGCGACCTTGGGCAGGCATGACACATACGTACGGCAGGTACACAAATGCCACCCACTCCTACTGCCTGTACATATATGCCTTGCTACTGACTGACTCACACATATGTTGGGGCGCCCATCTTCATCTCACTTGGCCGCTGTCTTTTCTGGTTGAACCTCTGTCCATCTGTCGTACTTTTGTATGGGGGTGCGAACAGCTGCTACACCCAGATATACACAGACAGACCTCCACGCGCCTGCCCACCACGCAGGCAGGCAGGCAGGCAGGCCGGCCAATTTTCTCTCTCCCGCTGGGACCACCACCTCACACGAATGAGTACCTACCTACCGTACCTAATCCATCCGACCTAGCCACTTGCGTCTCAATCCAGTGCTGTGCTCGCCTGCCGTGCCGATACGTGGATCCACCCCCGCCCCCTCCTCTGGCCGGTCCACCCTTCTCTACGTTGCCCTTCTATCACCCAGCCAGCCACTCGGGCGCTTTTAGCCACAGACCCCAGGGGGCGTGTGGGAGCGTGGGAGTGTGGGCGGGCGGATGGGCGATGGATGACGTTATTTTGTGGCATCAGCATGAATGCCTCGATTGAGAGAATTATCGTCTTGACGTATACGTGTCGACTCACTCACTCCCTAATTGCGCCTGTGTCTCTCGCCCTCCCTGCCGTCTCCGAATGGCGGTCGACCTCTGATGATGCACTGGCCAATCAGTGTATCGTCTCAGGTGTGCCGCGATTGGGTTGACCTGGCAGGGAGGACTGAGACCGGCACACGCCACGCTCAGCCTGCGAGTGACAACCCGGTCTGTCTAATCCGGTCTTCGTATGTCAGTTTTTCGTCTCGGGCGTACAAGCACCACACCACACACGCCGCTGTTGCACCGTCTGATACGTATCGCTGGGTGCGGGTATGCGTGGGTGGATGGATTCGTGGAGAACAAAGGACACCACCGGCCGGTTTTTTTACGCCTTCGCACGATGCCCTTCCTGGCCGTCTAATTCGTGACGGATGTACCACCCGATGTGTGAAGTGACGCGACTCATGTGTGTGAAGGAAATGAATGCCCAAGGCGACGGATGATGGGAGGGAAATCAGGATTAAGTTGGTAGACGTCACCACACACACACACACACGCATACTCACACACATGCATATGCAGAACTGTTGATACGTCATCAAGCCGACTGCCTCCCCCTGCCCCCCACCATGGTTGGCTAACCTGGAAGCCCACTTGCAGCGTTTGAGCGGACGGTTCGTGTGCGTCAATCAGTTATCGTATCGTCTTTCTCCGCCATTGATGATTGAGTTGACGCCACACGAATGCATTTATGACGGATTCCATCCATGTACAGTAAGTTCAGCACACACGTCCTGTCCTGTCCTGGCTTGGACAGACAGACTGCCAACAGCGCTTCGTCGGCACATGTGGAAAGACAGATGAAGGCGCACTCTCAGCTCCGCGGCACACGACATAGGGAGTCCAGATTCGACTATGGCGTCGGGCCAGGTACCCTGGCACACACCGGCATAGGGCCCAGAGAGCTCTCACTCACAGACAGGCAGGCAGGCAGGCAGGAAGACCAGCAGACAGGCAGAGGTCGGGAGGGGGAGAGAGAGGGGCCCGAGGGAGGGAGGAAAAAAGGTCGCCTGTGTCCCTGTACATGCAGGTCTGCATGCGGCCCACCCACCGGGTGGCTATCTATCCGTCACCCACCCGTGCCGTGTGTGGGTTCATCACATCTGTGCGTCGTTGGGGTTGAATTCGGGGTTGGTCTGGGGGGTGGCGTTGGCGGTGTCGTCATCGGTCGACATCTGCTGCTTCATCTCCGCCATGAGCTCGCAGCGCAGAGCCTTCCGCAAGTGACGCGCAATCCAAACCCTACCCCAGACGACAAAGGAGACGGACGGTCGAGCCGCGCACATTTTATTTGAGGAGGCAGGGGTGTACCTGTAGATGAAGAAGAGTGACACGACGACGATGGAAGCGCCGATGATGGAGACGAAGACGATCCACCAGGGGACGCCCTTCTCCTCCTCAGGCTCGTGCTCCTTCTTCTCGAAGTCGTTCTCGAAGTCGATCTTGCTCGGATGGAGCAACGTGTCGCACTCCTGACAGATATCGACACGTACACACGGAGGGAGAGGGCGGCCGTTGGTGCACTGGCTGGTGTCTCGCTGATTGATGTTGTGGACGTGTGTACCTTTGGTCGTTTCTCGAACCCTGAGCAGACGGCTCGTGTGATGAGATCCGGGTCGAGGGGCCCGCTGTACCGCCAGTCGTTGATGCGCATCGCCAGGGGGCTCCACGCGTGGCTGAGGCGCTCCCTTTCCAATATCGACTCCTTGTCCTTCTGCACACACCAAGAAGAGGCAGCTGGGTGCGTGTTGTGTGTTGTGTCCTAGCAAGGATGTGACGTGACGTACGGTGAGGCATTCTTGGATCTGCTTCATGTCTGCGCCGAGCTTCTTCATGAGGCCGAGAGAGCACTCCTCGCCGAAGACCTTGTTGCCCTTGCCGTCCATCGGACACCTGCGCACCGCACACACGATTGTCAGTATTCCCTGCCCCTCCCTCCTACATCCCTCCCTCGATGCCCGTGTTGTGAATGTGGTCTCGTACGCGTTGGGTAGCTGGTCGACGTAGTCCCACCAGATCGCCGAGTAGTCGCCGCTCTGCTCCACATTGTGGTCAACAATCGCGGTCTTCTCCCACAGACACAATTGACTGCACACACACACACCACACACACCACCACCAGTCAGTCGTAAGTAACTCTACGGTGCCCACGCATCCATCCATCCATCCGTCCATTTATGCATCCATCCACCTCTGCTCACTCACCGGACGGTCTCCTCGACCACGTCTTTGCCCGTGGTCGAGCCGGCCATGTCGGGGTCCAGGGCGCAGTAGGTGGCGTCGTCGTCTATGCACAAGTCCTTGTAGTCACGCGGGAGGCTGAAGATCCAGTAGTGCGGACGGAAATCAAGCTGCAAGGTACGTAAGGTGAGCAGCAACCACAGAACGAACACCATACATACACACCACACAAGCAGGAGAGGAGAGAATGGACAATGAGACGAGGAAGGGGAGAAGGGGAGAAGGAGTCGCCTTTGTCCTGACCTTGTGCTTGAGCGTCTTGGCGTAGTGGGAGTACTCCCGGAGAAAGCTGATGCTCTTCTCCACCGCTGGAGTGATCCAGAAGTCCATCGACACCGTCGTCTCCTGCAGCGCAGCACCCACAGAAGACACAGCCGAGAAGCCAATCCGCTCGCCTGGTCTCCGTCAAGACCTCCGCATATATGTGGGTCTGCACCCACCTTTCGCACGTCCCAGGCCAGCTCGATGATGACGTTGTTTCCGTTCTTCCGGAGCTCGTCGATGAGCAGGGACCCCTCCTTGTCACTGATCAGGATGGACGGCACCTTGACGTTGTCGCCCCAGCCGTCATCAGCCATGATGACTCGCTGGATCTCTGACGGTGTCCTGCTGGACCCCAAGGTGTCCACCACTATCACCGCCACGGCGTCCTTCTCCTCCTCAGCGATGCGAATCTTCGTCACGAAGCTGCAATTCCCTGATGAAGGAACGAAACAAACGGCCAGAATGACTCTGCCCTTCGACTCTCTCGCGCTGCCCTCCGCCTGTCTGCTTATGGCTGCGGTTGGGGTGCCAGATTGTTTTGTACCTCTCCTGACAACGATGATGTTGGGAAGCTTTCTTTCCTTGTCGCCGAGGGGCGGCGGGATGTCATAGTCGTCTTCGCGGCACCATCGGTCGCCCTTGGACTCGCCGTACACCAAGCGGCCGGTTATCCGCTCGCCATAATACTGCCACACACACGCCCGCCCTGCGTCTCTTGTGTGTGTGAGTGTTGTTTGTTGTGTGGGTATACCGGTGTGCCAAAGGCGGCAGTTGAGCCGTCGATCTTGGCCCTGTGGAACTTCTGGGAGAGGCTCTTTGGATGGAGCACCTTGATTTGAGCCACTGTGCTGGCGACGTACGCAAGGCAGACGCACACCGCCAGCGGCTTCCTGAGGACCATCCTGTGTGATTCTGATGTGACAAGAGGCCTCCTGTGCGGCTGCGATGTGCGTGCGACCCTTGCGTCTGATAGCGCCCTTCTCCGTCATTTCCGCGGAGGACGTTAACGATTTTTCTTCCCCGTACGAATTTACAAGGCGGAAGGGAGGGCGCTTACCCTCCCCCCTCCCTCTCTCTCTCTGTGTGTGTGTGTGTGCAGAGAGCATTCACACAGCAAAGAGAGGAGGCGTCCTCAAGGGAGAAGGGGACATGGCATTCATTCGGCTGGAAGATAGGACTCGGACGCGTTGACATCTGCACGACCGAGTCGGCTCCCCAAGACCATACGCGCACCGTCGTGAGGAGAGTGCAGACAAGCTCTGCTATGAATCAATGATCGTCAGCGGAAGCAGTGAGTGCCCCTGATGCTTAGCGATGCATCTATATCTGCCGGTGTTCCAGCCAAAGAGGCCACTTGCCACATAGAGGGACAAACACACGCACAGAGAGAGAGAGAGAGATCATCCACAGCGGGCAGATCGGGGTCGGTGAACTTGTGTATGAGTGAGTGGCACGTTGTCTAAGCTCCATCGGGTGTGTCCTCCTCATCGGCTGCTCCCGGCTGGTGCCCCCGGCCACTCGTCACCGCACCGACAGTCACCGAACCTGACACACAACACGCACACTCACTCCAGGTCATCCACCGTCCATTTGCCCATGTTCACACCACACTCACCGAAGTGTCCATGATCGTCCTCCTTGCAAGGGCCATAATCGCCACCAGCAGCAGCATCATCATGACCACCACCACCAGCGTCTGCTGTAGGTGCGGCTTCACTCTGAGCCAAACACACACAGAGAGCATCAACGGTGATGCACACAGGGAGCGTATGTTTGCGTGGTTTGTTCGGCCTACCGTGGCTGTCGAGGGCTGCGCGAGTGGGAGCTGCTCCCCTCATTAGCACCAACACCACCTGGGCACACACAGACAAAGTGAGCATGCGACGAGATTTCCTCCGTTCCCTCCCTCTCCCTGACCCTTAGACACCCCTGTCGATGTCGCCTCGCTGACCCCCCGGATCAGCCACGCATCGCTGCCCATCTTCGTGCGCGCCAACGCCACTGTCTGAGGACTGCCCGCCACACCAACACCATCGCCTCGGGGCTCCTCGGTGCTGTGGAGGGCGATGCGTGCCCGTCCGCCCGGGTGCAGGCACATCTCGATATCTGCCGAAAACGGGTCCCCTGCCTTGTCGCCACACAGGATGACCAATCGCTTTGCGCGGCCACTCCAGTCCGTGAAATCGCAGCAGCAGCTGTCCCACACGCGCGACGGCTGGGCCATGAGCGCAGCAATGCGCTGAGCGCCAGCAGATGCCGGAGAGTTGTCCTCAGAGGCGACCAGACCCGATAAGTGTATCCTAAGGCGCGAAGGAAGATAAGACAGTGAGAGAATGCAGGACATAGCATTCTGAGGTACACTAATGCTTGCGTACCCTTCCGGACCACACCCCAGGCCGCACCGACGGCCGATGAGCGACCACTGCCCCAGGCACTGCCCCCGGCTCTCGAATGTCTCTCGAAGGCCGACCTGCTCTACATCGCCCTCGTCCAACTGGATAGGCAGCTGCTGGATCCGTTTGTGTTGTTTGTGGTTCTTGGCCAGGTGGATGAGCGCGACATTGCCCGTCCAGTCGCCCCCCGTCTCGAGGAAGTACTGCAGGCGAATCAGCTGAGACAGCCGACGGGGGCTGGCAGACTGGCGCAGCGGCTGGTAGTCGATGACGCCGGAGAGGCCCTTCTGCTGGATCAAGTCATCGATAGCCGACGTCACTACGGCCTCCTTTACGTCCACCTCCAACTGCAGACATTATCAGAAAGTATTTCACACACGGACGTAATCGGGGTTCCTTCGCCACCCTCTGGCTGGCTGACCTGATACACCTCCAGCCGCCGTGCGGTGAAGGAACGGCTGTGTACGTGGCCGCGCCGGTCAAAGAGGCGCCGCCGGCAGAGGCGAAGATCGCCACCCAGGCCCACCTCCAGACAACTTCCGTTGAAGGACAGAATCCCACGCGGGCCATCTCCTCCGCTCGTCACCGCACCAGCCCCAGCGACAGTCACGCGCTGGTTGCTACGTGGCACCTCCACCTCTTCTGGGCCCTCGGTGGACATCCCACGCACAGAGAAGAGGGCCACGGGGCACTTGGTGGTGAGATGGGATTATTGGTCAGGGGGATTGATGAGCTGCCCATCGATGTGGCAGGCCACGACGTCGCAATCGCCGTCGTCAACGATGAAGAGGAGGCCTCGCGCGCCGCCAACCTGATGCAGCAACTTCTGGAAGGACGTGCCGTGAGCATCACTCCTATACACAGTCACACGAACACACACATTAAGGGCGAGAGAGCGGAGGAAACCTTACGTGAAGAGCCGGTGTAGGTAGGCTGGTTGGTTGTAGGTGATCGTCTTGGCGAGGTTGTGCATATCGCCATCGGGGAGTATCGGGGGGTATGCGGCGTCGAGCAGGCCGCACATCTCACACTCATACAGCAACTGGTCCATCTGATCGCTCGTGGTCGTGGGAGGGGACAGTGTGGTGCCCTTGGGCATGGTACAGCGACGACGCTCATAGTCGACGATCCTTCAAGCCACAAGGACAAGGAGAGGGAGGAATGCGGCTGTCAATGGCGGCCCATGCGGTGCTCTTCTGTTGGTTGACGTCTTACTCGCTGAAGTGGTCGGCAGATACACACACGACTGGAGCACTGTACCTGTCGACACCACACACGCAATGTATTCCTCTCTTCCTGTGAGTCTGTGGGTCCTCTGTGGCTGTGCGCTTACGTGTCGAATATGTTTCGCAGGCTGCTGGTGGTCTCTTGAAGGGTCGACTCAGTGGTGCTAATGACCACGTCGGGTCGCCCGTTGCCCTCCGACACTCGGATGGAGCGAATGGACTCAGAACCACTCATGGGCCGCAAGAAGGGACTGACCGCCTGTGACACACAAGCACCACAGAGAGGAACACGTCCATCGACCCAGCCCGCTTTTCCCCTCCCGCCCGCCCCTCTCACCTTGATGTCCCGCATCACTCGGTCGTATCGGGCCTTCTTGGCCGCCATCTCCTGCGACAGCTCAGCTAACCTCCCAGCCAATGTCTGGACAATCCTCTCCATGACAGCAACGAGGCCCTTGAGCTGCTCCGGCAGCGCAACGGCCGACAGGGAGGGCGGCAGGGTGCTGATGTGGCCGTTTGCCAACTCGCCACCTAATGCTGCAGGTGGTGAGAGCCAGAAGCGGATCCAATCACAGATGCCACCTGCTCAACAAACAACACGGGCACACTTACTTGACCTGCAGAGTTCATCGATGTGGTCGCCTCAGCTAACCTCTGAAGAGTCCGTCCGCTGCCATCTTCTTCAGCTGCTCCACGCCCTCCTCTCCGTCCGCCTGACGCGCCGCCCTAAGGACCATCTGGAAGGCCCGCGGGTCGGCATCGATGAAGAATCGGTCGTCATCGTCCCTCGGTAAGCGGTGGTCCCACTTGCCTCGGAACAGCGAGGCCATCACCGATCCCGCCGCGCGTGTGAGGTGGTGGCGACGGACGGTGAACGGTCGGCCGCCCACGTTGACCTCCAGCTGGTCATCAGCATCTGCCGCCCCGTCAGCTGCACCACGTTGGCCAGAAGCATGTCGATGTCGTACGATGCATCGATGCATTTCTCCTCGGCCGTGAGCTCCTCCAGAAGGGCCACAATCTGGTTGTCCAATGCGCACAGGGCTGCATGGCGAGAGAGCAGATCCCGTGCCATCGAGCTCAGCAATGAATCAAGGGCCTGAAAGACAGCATGACAGAGAGAAGCAACAAGATGCAATGAGTTGATGGTCCTGCCGTGGCGCGCTTCTCGTACCTGCCGGAATCACGCGTCAGTCGGGGCGAAGGCGTGTGTGTCGGCAGCAGGGGAGAACTTCATGCTGCTGATGGAGCGAACAAGCGGGCCATTCATCGCTCATCCAAAGGCAAGATCGTCGACGAAAGTCCGATCAGCGGGGGTTGCCAGGTGCGCCCCGTGCTGCGCCGCTATGAAATTCGTTCAACTCAGCAACAAGGCTCGCAACAGAAGGCTAAGCTCGCACTGTGGTTGGCACAACAGAGCCCGTCTTTCGTCCGGTAGTACGAGTCAGTCGTCATGGTCCGCATCACACGTCCCGAAACGCCTGTGCCGCCAGGCACCGGCAAGGGGAAGGGCAAGGGCAAGGGCAAGGGAGGCTTCGTCACCAAACGACACACTGTGCCACGCGACACCATTCTAGGTAGGTGACAGACGGACAGCTAGATGTGCACACAAGAATCAACACATCCAAATGGTCGCATTTGACTCTTGTGTGTGTTCGGTTGACAGGCATCACGAAGCCAGCGATTCGTCGCCTGGCACGCCGGGGCGGCGTCAAGCGGATCTCGGCGCTCTGCTATGACGAAATCCGCGCGACGCTCAAAAATGTAAGGCAGCGCCCGCAGGCAGTGGAGGTTCACTCACTGGGGTGTGTGTGTGTGTGTGTCAGTTCCTGGAGAATGTCATCAAGGATGCCGTCCTGTACACCGAATACGGCAACCGGAAGACCGTCACTGCTGTGGTCAGACAGAGAGAAAGACACAGGGGATGCAGCTCACTTCGCTGTGTTCTGTTCCGTGTCGTTTCTCACTCTTCCCACTGCAGGATGTGTTGTATGCCCTCAAGCGCCGCGGCAGGACGCTCTACGGCTACGCTGACTGATCAATGGGAGCCGGTGCACACATCAGGATACGCAGCCTGTTAGCTTAGAGGGAGTGGGGATGGGTGAGGGAGGGGGGGAGGGAGGCATAAACGAAGTGCTGGCGGCAGAGACCAGACAGACACCCGCTGTGGAATAAAGGGGCGGTGTTGCCCTTTTTACTTGTGTATTTGCCTATAGGATGGATGGGTGGGTGGCTGGGACTGGGGCTTGTATGTAGTGGTCGACGTAAGGACGTACATTACGTTACGTACTCGTGTACCCGATGACATTGTCTCCCTGCCTTCTTTGCTCCGCTTTGTGTGCTTGCCCGGCAGCTTGTGACTGAGTGAGAAAATGCCATGTACAATAGCTTGCCGGCCGGTGAATCGTGGACTGGACGTGCCAATGTGAAAATGATCTGAAGACTCGTACTTCGCATGAATGTCCGTGAACTGAAATTGCGATGATTTTGTCCGAGTGCATAAATCGTCATTTGGTGTATCGTTTGAGGTTTCTTGCGAGGTCATGCAGAACATCAGGGTGCGGCTGCAGGGTGGCCAGCATCCTGCGCCACTCATCACACTCACACACTTGACTGTACCAACACAACCACACAACCACACACACACACGCAGATTCATGTCATGTGCCGTGTGGGTGTTTTGTATCATTCTGTGTATACCCAGGGGTCCGTTCGAATCTGGCCATGAGACAGGGCAGCGCGCGGCAGTCCTCCCACGGCCCCCTCTCCTCCAACACCATCGACCGCTCTATCGCATCCTCCCGGTGAAATCCGCCGTCAGCCTCTTGTGCAGCAGCACTCTCGGCCTCGTCGGCGATTGGCAGCGGAGTCCTCTTGGGAAGGAGGTCAGAGTGCGGCGGCTGCGTGAACAGGAGGGGCAGCTCGATGGTGAAGATCTCCTGCAGCTCCTGCACGAACAACAGGTCGTCCTCGACACTCCGCAGGTCCGCACTCAGCGTCTCGAAGGCCGCCTCCCTCTGCTCAGCAAGGAAGGCCTCACGCAGCCGCTTGGGCAACGTCTCCTGCACACGCGCACACAACGTCGAAGAGACGGGTGGTGCTGATGAGACGGGCCAGCACTGAGCTCACTTACTTCAACTGCTCGGTCGGCAATGGATGTCTGTCGTGGGCCGCCAGGCGGCCTCGATGGCAGCCCGAACACCTCTGGGGGCGGCTCCTTGCGGCAGTGGCAGAGTGCGTTGAGGACGCCCAGTTGTGTGCGTGTTGCGGTGAGGTGCCTGTCGGCCTGGTAGAGCATCCTCTTGTCGAAGAACAGCACTGCCAGGTGGTAGTAGAGCGACAGCTCTTCCGTGAAGGACTTCTGCTTCCTCGCCATGCGGGCCGTCAGGTCCTTCTCCTCTTCTCTGTGATGGTTTGTCTGCCAGGGAAGGGAAGAAAGAGCTCGTGAGACACCCATCCCATCGCGAGTACGTATTTCTCCGTGTGGTGTGGTGTGGTGTCTGTCTCCCTACCAGTCGATGGATAACGGTGAGATTGTGACGGGCACAGCCCTCAGGAAGGCCTGCACAACCATCGGAAAACACCTGCTGATTGATGTTGTGTGTTCTGCAGGCCAGCCATACCCACCCCTGTCTCTTAGAAGGTCACACGCCAGCTGCGCCTGTTGCCTCGCCCACTCAGCCTTGCCCTCATCCCTATGCACACGCCAAGTAACCGGCCAGCCATCAGATCCGCTCGACACAGCGTCCGCCTTCCTTACCAGTATCGAACAGAGAGGTTGAAGTACGCCAGCACACGAGTGATGAACGCCTTGCACAGCCGCTCGACCTCAGAAACGACAGGACGTGAGACGGCCAGAGCCGCGTAGCGACCCCTTTGCGCTTCTCGGGCCAGTGTCGTCGCGGTCTCATCACGCGGACGCAATCTGATCGGAGGGATCTCACGTCACCCACATCCCAGCCACGGGCACGCCAACTGTCGTCTCTTCACCTCTTTGCCTCCCGGAACTCCTTCTCTGCGAGGCGCCACAACTTGGCCTCTCCCTCCGCCGATGAGGGCTCCTCTGCGTCCTCCCCCAAGCCTTCCTCGTCCCCTCCCTGGACCTGCCATTGCCTTTCTTCCTCTTGGCGTCTCCGGCTCGAGTTGATCTGCCGGAAGTACGACTTGCCGAGCTTTAAGTGGAGATCGAAGTACTCGCCTGTGGTTGGCGCAAAGGCCTTGCGGCTTGGACCGCCGGCGGCTGTCGCTTTCTTCATCATTCAAGTTGAGCGAGGAGTCCAAAGCCGCTCCTGTGTTCGTGCGAGACGGGGGGGGGGGGGGG